TTATTTTCGTTTCAATAATTAATTTCTATTGTGTTGAGTGAAATGGTATAGAAATATTTGGACATTTTCACATATTTCGGCCTTAAATCTCCAGAAGAAGCTGAAATTTTGAGCCAACCAGCTGCTGAAATACGCACAAAGAACACTTTAGTCTAAAGAGAGTACTGCAAAAATGCCACTACACTGCATAGTTGTGGATGAGTTTGTGCGAAATTTAAGTAACAATTTGCAGAAATGTGACCAAAAATGACCAACATCCCTACGTATGTGACCAAAAATATCGGCAAAACTTATCGCAAATGGTTTCTCTGGATTCTTAACAATCAATATCAACATTTTTTTTTCCATATTTGCTATATATGAACATATATGAAGCTTTTATTAACACTTTAGTCCAAAGAGAGTATTGCAAAAATGCCACTACACTGCTTTCTTTTCCGATTTGTAGTAAAACAAGTAGTTGTGGATGAGTTTCTACAAAATTTAGGTAAGAATTTGCGAAAATGTGACCAAAAATTACCAACAGCCTTACTATCTGTCCCAAAATATCGGTAAAAATTATGGCAAATATTTTCTCTGGATTCTTAACAGTCAATATCAACATATTTTTTTTCCATATTTGCTATCGGAATTAAATCTCCAGAAGAGGCTGAAATTTAGTTTGCACCAACCACCTGCCAAAATACGCATAAAAAACATATATGAAGCTTTTATTAGCACTTTAGTCTAAAGAATGTACTACAAAATTGCTACTACACTGCTTTCTTTTCTGATTTGGGGCAAAACAAGTACCATATTTTTCTGACTATAAGTCGCACTTTTTTTTCATGGTTTGGGTGTTTCCTGCGACTTCCAGTGCAACTTGTATATTCAAATTCTCAGACTGACAGCCACAAGAGGCTCTAGTCTTGTGTGTCAGTATCCAGTACTAATATTACTCCTGTACCACTGTCACTTCGCACTCTACTGCGCATGTCTCCTGTAGAAAAAGCCTCTGTCCTGCTGCAAATAGTGAAATATTCAGTCGAAAACGGTAATCGAGCAGCAGAGACAAAGTTTGGAGTGAGCGAGAAACTTGTGAGAGACTGGAGGAAAGCGGAGATGGAGAACACAACTTCACGGCAACTGGGAGGGTGCACCATGTAACTTTCCTGTAAGTCACTGGATGAATCGATAAAGCCTGGACTTCAGTGACACCGAAACCATCCTGTCGAGATTCAGAAAGGTCGGAATAATTCTAACTGGAACTGATGCCGAGTCTGACGACAGCTACACAGAAGAGGAAGGGGCGCTCTGTTTACATCACAGATCTATGGTTTATCTCTGGAAGGTCATGCAGAAGTGACATCGAGGATGAAGAATTCAATGGATTTAGTGATTTGGAGTGAGATCGTGAGTTTGGTGAACTTATGTTGTTTATGCTATAATTATCCGAATAACTGTTAATATGTTACATTAACATATTAACGCTTATTCAGTCTGTTGTTCTCTGTTCTATTGTTATAACTAGAACTTGACTTTCAAGATGAAATGTCAGTTCCTGGTCTCTGATTTTATAAAATAAATTTCCCCAAAAAGAAGTGCGACTTATATATGTTTTTTTTCATTGAGCATTTTTTGGCTGGTGCGAGTTACACTCTGGAGCAACTTCCAGTCTGGAAAATACGGTAGTTGTGGATGAGTTTGTACGAAATTTAAGTTAGAATTTGCGGAAATGTGACCAAAAATGACCAACAGCCCTACGTATCTGACCCAAAATATTCAACAAACTTATTACAAATGGTTTCTCTGAATTTCAGTATCAACATTGGCTGCAAAAAAATAAATAAACCTGGTCAATCTCTAGTATTGTGACAACACTACACATCATTACACATACCTAAATTCAACACTCATCATACTTATTACATTATTCAGATGGTATGATTACGTATTCATAGTTTGGGGAGATGAATAATGTTTTTAAACCACATTGTAAAATTAGCACAGAGGTAAATTCCCAGAGCAATCAATTGTAACTCAACAGGAAATAAAACACAACCGAGGCTGTAATTTGAGCCGTCATAAAGAATCGTGTGTTTGTGCTTGTGTCATAGTGAATGGCTGTAGTTTAGAACACAAAAGGTAGATTGTGAAGACTTGTGACACTTAAATAAATATAGAAACGAGTCCAGGTATTTTAAAAAGAACCTTTTGCGAGTAGTATGAAAAAGTAAAAAAGTCTATTTCTAATTTTAGTACCAAAATTGTCAGGAATAGCTCATACAAAGTCCATAAAAATAGCTTTCCTTGAATTAATAAGTACTTTCTGTGTTTATTAAAGTAACTGGCATTGTAATGGCTAAATAGTAAATGTGAGATAATTTTAAATGATAAAGCACAATTATAGTACCTTAAAGTGACAGATCAGACTTCTAATTTATCTAAAATATAGTTAACATCAGTAGATTTAAGGTTTTACTAAATATTTTACCTGCTCTTTTTTAGTTTTTTAAATTTTGGTAAAGGTTATAGTTCTGCTTCCTAGGATTAAAACAAAAATGCCACGTTCTGACAAAAAAAAAAAAGATAACACCTTTATTTTGTTAAATCGACGTTTAAAACTGTCAGAAAAATGCCTTCCTTGTGTACAAACATACAGCCCCCATACTGGACAGTTTTAAGTCTCGTTTTAAGACCCACTTTTATTCTCTGGATTTTACTACCGCGTGAGTTGTGTGATCCTCTGTGTCTTTTATTTTATTTATTTACTGTTTTTATCTATTTTATTTTTTAGTTCTGCTTTTATGTATTGATTTTATTATTTTTGTATATTAATTTTATTATTATTATTTTATTTATTTTTCTATTAGTGTCTTTATTAAACATAATTCCGCTGATTTTTTATTTTTTTTCTTCTTCTTTTTAAAGTAAAATGTTGCATTGCTATGTGAAGCACTTTGGAAACTGTTTTGTTTGTAAAATGTGCTATACAAATAAAGCATCTCATGTCTCAGCATTTTGTTTAGGACAGATGACAGATGACGACATCGGTAGAGTTATTCTGTTTAACAACTCACTGCAACTTCCTGTATTTTACAACTTTTCTTCTTCACAAACTGACACTTAACTGAGGTAAAATTATGACGCCGTATTATTTAACTCGTGTACTATCCCAACAAACCAGGTATAGAACCAGTAATAAGAAAACCAATATATCTTAAACTAATAATAATAATAAAAAAATACAAATCTGTCAAAAGTATGTGTGAAAATTTAAGGCAATCACTTTTAAAAAAAATTAATATCATAAAATAGGTCAATCACGTGAGAAAAAGCATTTATAAAAGATCTAACGTGAGTCAACAAGGTGTCATATTGGGCTGGTCATCATTAAGAAGTTGCCAATACGATACATATCTCGATACAGTACACTTTCGGTTCGATGCGATTCAATACTAGGGGTGAAAGAAAAAAATGGATTCAGTGATATATCGTGATACTTCACTGCACAATTCTCGAATCAATTTTTTAAATAATATTTTTCACAAAAATGTATTAGTTACATTCACAGTTCTCATGGTTTTAAAAAGTTTATGAATTATATTTCATACAATTGTGTTCTCTTGAAGGTGTAGTTGACTGTATTATTAGAAGTAATTATTGATAAATCGCGATATATCATCCATTGTTTTAGTATTGGGATATATCGTGACCTATTGAATCGTGATATGTGAATCATGATACGTATCGTATCATCAGACTCAAGGCAACGCGCACCCCTGTTCAATACGTTATATTTTTAATTGATTTGGAATTGTTAAATAAAAAAATAATGTCTAAATCATGGCTGCGATACTAAAAGACTTTGTTAAACCACTTCTTGTTCAACGTCAATATGAAACACACCACAACAACCTCAAAATGGCAAATGTGTGTCATAAATGAGTTTCCTTCCTCTAAACAAGTAACAAAACAAAAGCGCTGTAACAAAAGAATTTAGTAAAATAACCAAAAAAATACTCTTGGCGATAAATCGATACAGCAGCCCACGATATAGACACAATATCATCACATTAAACGATACGATATGTTGATATTTTGATATGTAACAAAATAATTTAGTAAAATAACCAAAAAAATACTCTTGGCGATATATCGATACAGCTGTCCACGATATAGACACAATATCATCACATTAAACGATACGATATGCTGATATTTTGATATTTTTGAACACTCCTGGTTTCATATCATGTCTGTGTAATCAGAAAATGTATTTAATAGTGAATTATTGAGTTTTTTAGGTAAGTAAACACGAGCTGATCCAAAAAATAGCGGAGTTGGTTTAATCCTACGACGGGCAGCGCCTCGCCCCTGGTACCTGGCATCTTCCTCATTACCTAATTTTGAGATAACGTGATCCCAATTCTTAAGTATTTGTAGATTTTAACATGTTTTTAACCATGTTTCAACCAAATCCATTATAATAGTGTTCCTGGGAGCTTAATTGCTTCCTAAAAATCCAGTAATCAGGAAAAGGCTGGTTCCTGGCAGCCTGACACTTGACTACAGAAACTTCCCATTAGCTCTGGGGGCTAACGGCTTTTCCCAACCCGCGAGAACCGCCTCCAAAACCGGGACCGAACCTCACCGACACCCGCGTCCAGGCCCGGGGCTCACCTCTTTTGTTTTTCGTGCCGTATTTCTTCGCCGTGGCCAGCTCATGCTCGATCTTCTTCTCGAGAAATTCCTGCTTTTTCATCAACATGTCCTCGGTCTCCCTCAGCTTCTGGATCGCGTCTTGTGGCGTTGGCCCTTTCTCGCCCTTTCCCTTGCCAAATATCTTAGCGACAAGCGACATTTTACCGGTTAACGTGAACAACAGCGAATCTACGAACCGTAAACTAAATAATCAAACCGTGAAATGTCTCTGATCGCGTTTCGGTGCGCTCTTTTTGCGGTTAAGCGAAACTCCGTGTCGCTGTAGCTCTCTCTCGTTCGCTGCTGCCGTCGCTGTTGTTTTTGTCTTTCTCTTCCGCGTTTTCCAGACGGGCCTCGTGATGTCATTACGTCAGCGTGCGGTTACGTAAGTGCGTGACTCAGAAAAACCAACACGAGGATGATAAGGCGTTTATTACCGCTTTAAAGTCAATAAAGGTACGTTTTCTTAAGGGTCAGGCTTAAAATAGACACTCACAGGCACAGGACTATTACACGTTTAAGATATTTGAATGGCTTCAGATTCTTTAGAGAACACCACAAATGTAAGAAAACTATTAAACTATTTTAGTTAATAATCTAAATTAGCGTAAACCTGTCATTGTACTAGTTATTAAAGTAACTAATACTCAATTATATTTTCTCAGCTACTTTTACTTGAGTAACTTTTGTGTAGTGTTGGTCAGATTAAATTTCAAAAGTAATTTGATCACTGACCACTATAAGTTACTATGAAAAAAAAAAAGGGAACGATACAGTTCAGAAAACAACTTATAAAAAGCAAGAATTCTTCACACTAATCACACTTTTTGTTATAGAGCCTAATTTTAGGAAGGATGCCACAGAGGGAATGCCACAGTCCTCCATAAACCTGTTACTACTGTTTAAATTCTCATCTGATCTGTGTCTGACACCAGCAAACAACATCCTGTACCTTTTTGTGTTTTTTTTTTTTTTTTTGTTTTTTTATGTTTTATGGCAAAGACCTACAGATTACACACAATTTTGGCAGGGAAAAAGTAACTAAAAGTTACTAGACCATGTAGCTGTAATCCAATTACTCAATTTTCAGTTGTAACTAGTTACATTACTGCGGTGTGTAAAGTGTAAAACACTTTGAATTACTTGTAAAGCACCTTGTGTACAAATTGTGTTGCATAAATAAAATTGTCTTGCTTTGCTTTACTAAAAAAGTAATCAGATTACAGTAATCCCCTACTTAATTCCCAAACACTGCTTTTTAATCAGCTGTACATCTCAGTAGTTTTTGTATCAAAACTGACAAAAGTGACCAAAGCTTTACAATATGAAATTATGTAAACATTTGTGTTTCTTACACTGATACTTAAAACATAATTCAGTATAAAAGTCTTTGTACTTTTACTTGAGTAAACATTTCTTACTACTACTGTTTCCTTTGAAGGAAAACATGTTAATTTTTAATTAATCATATGATATAGCACTTTGTGTTGCATTTTTTTTTAATGAAAAGAGCTTTATAAATAAAGTTTGATTGATTGATTGAGTTAAAATTTGATGTGACAAATGATCAAACAAGAGAACAAGGTCGTAAATTATGGCCTGGCTAGAATACAAAATTTATGTAAACTCCGGCCATTCTGACTCCAAAAAGGAGAAGTTTGAGTGTAATAAGGCATAAGTTGTAATTAGCTTTACTTCCCATTTCCAAGTAAATACATCTTTAAATCTGCTCTGTGTCCATCTGCATGACAACAGCCCCATAGCCACACAAAGCAGACTAGATTAGGTTAATAGCATTAGCAGTCTCCGGCAGAGGTTTATTAGTGATGCTATTGTCATCTACCATTTTGTTAGTTTAAGCCTCCAAACTCAATACAAGTCATTTTCTTCTTAGGTTAATCCACTCATGAGTTGTGTAGGAAAGAGTTAAGGAAATGTTTGGGAAAACTGGAGATCCAAATTTCCGGTCAAAGTTGCATTGTGTAACTTTTCTAAATGCTGGAGATGTTACTGCTTTGTCTGGAAGGTCAGATCTGTGGAGAGGCGACCCCGTATATCCACAGAAACAAACAGGTGACAGACTCCCAAACAAAAAGTTTCGCAGTGCACCTTTAAGTTAACTGCTCCCCCCTCCAGGCTCCTTTAAATGGGGTTAATAGCATTAGCAGTCTCCAGCAGAGTTGTAGTAGTACTGCTATTGTCATGTACCATATTATTAGTTTAAGCCACACACTCAATGGTCATTTTCTTCTTTAGTTAATCCACTCATGAGTTTCTGTGTAGGACATGTTTTGGAGGGAAACTTGTAATCCAAAAAATACTCAAGTTAAAGACAGATTTGATTGCGTTAAATTTGGGGAAAAAAATAATGTACTTGTATAAAATCCTTTGGGAGGCTTTTATTGCGCTGAAAAACATAAAGAAACGTGTGTCCTTACTGTGCGTGAGCTTGCATCTCCACAAACCTGACCATTATTTGGCTTTGAGGATCGTCTCTTCCAGCTTGTCTCCATGGCAATTGCACTTTTTTCTTACTTATATACTTAAAAGTTCTGATATTATGCAAAATTGACTCGCTTTAAGCCATGTTACAATGTTGTTTCCTCATCACAAACAAACTTGGAGTTGTGTTTTGTTTTATTCACACAAATTTGAGTAACACTTTATTATTAGTCTGCTCAAAATGCTCTGTTCCAGCCTGTGATGTTATGAAGTGGTAGTTTTCAAATTAACAGTGACCATTTACCTTTAGTTCAATAGAGATTGACAATTCCAGGGCTGAAATTATCTGAGAGAGTCTCAAGTGGAGGAGTTCAAGTATCTCGGGGTCTTGTTCACGAGTGAAGGGAGGACGGGGCGTGAGATTGACAGGTGGACAGGTGCAGCGTCGGCAGCGATGCGGACGCTGTATCGGACCATGTGGTGAAGAGGGAGCTGAGCCAAAAGGTGAAGCTCTCGATTTACCGCCCAGTTTATGTTCCTCCCCTCATCTATGGTCATGAGCTCTGGGTAATGACCAAAAGGACGAAATCATGAATAGAAGCGGCCGAAATTAGTTTTCTCCGCAGGGGGGCTGGGCGCTTCCTTAGAGATAGGGTGAGGAGCTCAGTCACATGGAAGGAGCTCGGAGTAGAGCTGCTGCTCCTCCGCGTCGAGAGGAGCAGCTGAGGTGGCTCAGGCATCTGTTCCGGATGACTCCTGAACGCCTCCCTGGAGAGATGTTTCAGATATGTCCCACAGGGAGTAGGCCGCCGGGGAATAGCCATGACACACTGGAGGAGCTATGTCTCTCGGCTGGCCTGGGAATGCCTTGGGGTCCCCCAGATGAGCTGGAGGAAGTGTCTGGAGTGAAGGAAGTCTGGGAGTCCCTGCTTAAACTGCTGCCCTCACGACCTGGCCCCGGTTAAGTGGAAGAAATTAGATGAATGGAAATTATTCAAATGATTCTATTGAAGGTGTCCATCCATCCATCCATTTTCTTCCGATTTTAGTGAAGGTGTATGGAGTGTAAAAATATGGTTGCGCACTTCCTGTATTACCACATGACATCACAAGGTGGAACAGAGTGTTTTCTGTTTGAGACAAAAACACAGCCTAAGTATGTAGACAAACATGTTCTGGAACGCATGGGATTCTTGTATTAGTTTAAACATTCATATGTCAATCTTCTCTCAAATGTTAATGCTCCTCTAATTTAAAATGCATACTTTAAAAAATATATTATGCAAATACAATCACAATACTTCACATTTTTTTTCTTTTTCAGCCCTATAATTAAACCAAAACATCAATTACCTCCTCTTCACCTTTACAATGTTTCACCTGCTCTGCCTCTCTTTTCTAATCCTCATAGTTCCTGTGGAGAAACACACTGGTCTGTTGTTAAATCTGGTTCTTTCTCATGTAAAACTCTCCCTAATCCTTTTTAATTACAGCTAAGACCCTCCTTCTCGACATCTCAACATCTCTGCTCCTACTTAAAGCATTTTACAGCTCCTCTGCAGTGGGACAGGTGGCTACGATCACACTGATTTCACTGATTTCACTGATTTGTCAATGATTTTTTAGACTGATTCCAGCATGGCATCTGTGGAGTTTTCGATTGAGAGGATTTTGGGAAGTGGAAATGAGGAAAAGTGCAACAGGATCAAACTGCACAGACCTTGGGCAGGTAAGAGAGAATTTATGTAAACAAAACAAAACAAAACAAAAAAATTAGGTAAAGACTGTTTTCATGAATCAAAACTAATGAATTGTTTGTATTATAATGTATTATTTTTGGTTTGACTTTGGTTATTTATGAAGATGTTATTGGCCCTTTTAAAGATAGTAAACAAAAAAATTCTAAATTCCATAGTCAAAAATGAAGTGTAATGTGATTTCAATGGCAAAAACGAGATTAACCTCAGAATTAGGGATGTAACAATAACCAAAATTTCGTCAAAAGTTTCTCAATAATATTGTGGGCCATCACAATATATCAAATATTAAGTCTCTTTCCTTAAATTCAGTGTTTTGGAGCAGTAATAGCTTAAAGAAACTTAAGGAACTACATATATAATAATTCTTTGCTACATTTCAATTCAATTTATGATTATATGAAATAACTTAAACACTCTTAAATCTTAACTCTTTGGTGTGTGACAGAAACAAAGGCTTGACAAGGCATTTTTGAGTGAAAAAGTTGTATATTCACAGTTTTGATTCAAAGAGAAATTTGGATATTGCTACATCCCTACTCAGAATGTCACAAAATATGAAAAATCAAGAGAAATTTGGCAAATGAAAACCACTCAGATACATGCGAGAGAAATGAGAACCCGGATTTAAAACATTCACAACTGAATTTTACATTATTTGTTTATTAAAGAAGAGATTATGATAGACACTAAACATTTCTCAGAAAGTGAAAAATCCAGATTTTTAGGTTTTACTTGACAAATATTTACAGAAAAATTAATCCCACTACAGTTTTTCACTTCATCTACAGATACTTTTCACATTTCATTAAATTATACTGAAGCTCAAGTGCAATTTTGAAGTTAGAAAACTGTATTTTTAAATCCTTTTTAAGAGAGAAGCAAATTAATTATAATATGTGTATGTGTAAATTCAAAATTATTGTTTATTTTGTTTTAATGTCACAAACCATTAGCACTTAGATCTGTTAATCAGTTAATAATTGAAAATATATTACCGTATATTAATTTTCTGATGACAGGATTTTAAAGGGTGTGTTGCTTTGCCTGGAATGTTACGCAATATGGCATTATTGATCTTGCATTTTGTGTTTTGGTTCTCTTGTTTCACAGCAGACCCAGAGACAGAGAAGGAAAACTTTGAGGTTTATTCAGATTTGAGCTCCATCAGACCAAACTCCCACTGGTTTATGGGACGAAGACCAAGGACCGCCTTCACTGACAAACAGGTACAACAGAGTAGTAGTAGTAGCAGAAGGAGTAGGAGTAGTAGTAGAAGTTGAAGTAATAGGAGTAGTAGTAGAAGTAGTAGTAGTAGGCGTAGTAGTAGGAGTAGAAGTAGTAGTAATAGGAGTAGAAATAGTAGTAGTAGTAGTAGTAGTAGTCATAGGAGTGGTAGTAGTAGTAGTTGGAGTGGTAGGAGTAGTAGTAGTAGGAGTAGAAGTAGTAGGAGAAGTCGTAGAAGTAGTACTATAGTTGTAGTAGTAGTAGTCAGAGGAGGAGGAGGTAGTAGTCTTAGGAGTAGTAGTAGTAGTAAAAGTAGGAGTAGAAGAAGATGTAGAAGTAATACTATAGTAGGAGTTGTGGGAGTAGTAGTAGCAGTAGTAGTAGTAGTGGTAGTAAAAGTAGGAGTGGTAGGAGAAGACGTAGAAGAAGTACTATAGTAGTTGTGGTAGTAGTAGTAGTAGTAGTAGTAGTAGTAGTAGTAAAAGTAGGAGTGGTAGGAGAAGACGTAGAAGAAGTACTATAGTAGGAGTTGTGGGAGTAGTAGTAGTAGTAGTAGTAGTAGTAGTAAAAGTAGGAGTGGTAGGAGAAGACGTAGAAGAAGTACTATAGTAGGAGTTGTGGGAGTAGTAGTAGTATTAGGAGGAGGAGGAATAAAAGTAGTAGTAGAAATTGTAGAAGTAGTAGTACGAGTAGTAGAAGTAGTAGTAGGAGCAGTCGTCGTAGGAGTAGAAGTAGTAGTAGGAGTAGTAGGATTAATTGTAGGAGTAGTAGTTGTTGTAGTAGAAGTAGTAGTAGGAGTAGTAGTTGTTGTAGTAGAAGTAGTGGTAGGAGTAGTACTAGTAGGAGTAGTAGTATTGTAGTAGGAGTAGTAGTAGTAGTAGGAGTATTTAAGATGTAAAAAAAGATGGAGATGCTAATAGTTTATGTAGAATGTTCCACAGTATGGCATTAAACGTCAATCACAGATGTTTTTCTATAGCTCAGTTCCTTTTAACCCTATTCGCCTTTCCATAGAACCGACTTGTAACTTGGCCTGGTGGCGCCTCCTTCTTGTCTTTTTATGGAGATTGATTGTTGGAGATAATTTTAATGCCATATAGTGGAACATTTCAGGCAAAGCAATAACATCTATGGAGAAAAATAGGTGATGGACGCTGTGCCAGAAAAGTTACACAACGCACCAATGCACGTGCCCTCCCTACATCCGAACAGCCCCCCCTAGTGGAGTGTTTTAAGTGCTGTTTTATGACACATTTGTATTTGTATTGTTTTGGTTTTTTTAGACGGCGTGATTTGTGTAGTCCTTTGTGTCTTCTATTTAATTTATTTTATTTTATTAATTTATTTTTATTATTTTTTATTCAATTTTTTTTTTTTTTTTTTTTTTAGCTTTATTTATTTTATTTTAACACTTTTCATTTCTTGTTTTTATTTATGTATTACTGTCTTTTTATTGTATTTTTTTGCCTGTGCAGCACTTTGGAAGCTGTCCTGTTTATAAAATGTGCGATATAAATAAAGTGGAATGGGACTGGATTGGGTTTAAGTTGCTAAAAATATAAAATAGCAAAGAAACACGTATTTGTAATCAGTGACGTAAAGAGTACTGTATATATGTACTCAAGTAAAAGTACAGGTGCATGGCTAAATAATTTGAATCTCCTGAAAAAACTACAATTACACGAAAAATCTACTCAATGAAATAAAAAAATCTAAGTATTTGTTATTAATTACTTTCCATCCATCCATGTTTTTTTAATATTAAATTATTAAAATAGGGATAGTATTAGGATAGTGTCGATATTTTACAGGACTAAAATGCTGTTGTTTCAGGTGGGAATGTTGGAAAAAGTTTTCCAGGTGAACTGTTATCCAGGGATCCAGCTCAGAGAGGAACTTGCACACTCACTCAAACTGGACGAGGACAGGATACAGGTAAAGATGATGGTTTCACTTCATCTGCCTCGTATTGGGGCTCGACTTGGGACTCGACTTAGACTTGAAGGTTAGTGACTTGATAAAACTTGAGAAGCAAGGAGTAGGAGTAGTAGGAGTAGTAGTAGGAGTAGTAGTAGTAGCAGTAGTAGTAGGAGTAGTAGTAGCAGGAGTAGCAGTAGTAGTAGAAGTAGTAGTAGTAGTAGTAGTAGTAGTAGCAGGAGTAGCAGGAGTAGCAGGAGTAGTAGAAGGAGTAGAAGTAGTAGCAGTAGTAGTAGTAGTAGCAGTAGTAAGAGTAGTAGTAGTAGTAGCAGTAGTAGTAGTAGTAGTAGTAGTAGTAGTAGTAGTAGTAGTAGTAGTAGAGTAGTAGTAGTAGGAGTAGTAAGCAGTAGTAGTAGAAGTAGGTAGTAGTAGAAGTAGGAGTAGTAGTAGTAGTAGTAGTAGTAGTAGTAGTAGTAGTAGGAGTAGTAGCAGTAGTAGAAGTAGGAGTAGTAGTAGCAGTAGTAGTAGTAGAAGTAGTAGTAGTAGAGTAGTAGTAGTAGTAGTAGTAGTAGTAGTAGTAGTAGAGTAGTAGGAGTAGCAGAGTAGTAGAAGTAGTAGTAGTAGTAGTAGTAGGAGTAGTAGTAGTAGTAGTAGTAGTAGTAGTAGCAGTAGTAGGAGTAGTAGCAGTAGTAGAAGTAGGAGTAGTAGTAGCAGTAGTAGGAATAGAAGTAGAAGTAGTAGTAGTAGTAGTAGTAGTAGTAGGAGTAGAAGTAGGAGTAGTAGTAATAAGAGGAGTAGTAGTAGAAGCAGTAGTAGGAGTAGTAGTAGTAGTAGTAGGTAGTAGTAGAAGTAGTAGTAGTAGTAGTAGCAGTAGTAGGAATAGAAGTAGAAGTAGTAGTAGCAGTAGTAGGAGTAGAAGTAGGAGTAGCAGTAGTAGTAGTAGTAGTATTAGTGGCAGTAGTAGGAGGAGTAGGAGTAGTAGCAGTAATAGGAGTAATAGTAGCAGTAGGAGTAGTAGTAGTAGGAGTATGAGTAGTAGTAGTAGTAGTAGTACTACATGAACCAAGTCTACTTTTATCTCTTCTTTCAGATCTGGTTTCAGAACCGCAGAGCCAAACTGAGACGCTCGCTCCGAGAGACACAGCTGCACCGCGTCCAGTCTTCACTCAGCGACGACGTCATCAGCCCAGAGGTCAAAGGGCACGGCGAGGGTCACGGGAGGTCACAGGAGACAGCTCCATGTGACACCAGCAGGACCATCACCACTCAACAGTGAACACAGATTGTAAATAAAATAAATTAAAACACATCAAAACCTCAAAAATCCTGATTCTAAACCATGTAAAACACTTTCAAGCGTAGCAAGTGAGCCCTGTGAAATTGACTGCTGTAAATAAATATTTCAGATTATTTATATATAGGCCTGAGCTATTTTTTTCTGACTTTACCTGTATAAAATTGTATTTTATTTTATTTTTTAACAAATAAATAAAATATAAAAATATAAATTGTGTGTTTACGGTTTGTGTGTGTGTCTGGCAGTGTTGGGGAGTAACAGATTACATGTACCGGAGTTACGTAATCAGAGTACAAATTATGAGTAACTGTATTCAGTTACAGTTACTGTTTCAGTGAGTGGTAATTGGATTACAGTTACTTATAATAATAAATGAAATAAATGGATTACATGACGGTATTTTCCTGTTTTCACATTTTGGGCTATATCCCTTTTTTTTCCCACAGTATTCCACTCATTGCCGGACACTGAACCAGGTCCAAACCAGGTCTAAACCAGGTCCAAATCAGGTCTAAAACCAGGTCTAAACCAGGTCTAAACCAGGTCCAAATCAGGTCTAAAACCAGGTCTAAATCAGGTCCAAATCAGGTCTAAAACCAGGTATAAACTTGGTCTAAACCAGGTCTAAAACCAGGTCTAAACCAGGTCCAAACCAGGTCTAAAACCAGGTCTAAACTAGGTCTAAACCAGGACTAAAACCAGGTCTAAACTGGGACTAAACCAGGACTATAACCAGGACTAAACCAGGACTAAAACCAGGTCTAAAACAGGATTTAACAGGACTAAGTCATGCTGCATGGACCGTGTTTCCTCCTCTTCTATCAATAATATTTTTAATTTGGTTCAGTAAAGTCTGTTTTTTAAATTTTCTTTTATCAAACAAAACTTGTTATGTGAAGATTTCCTGGTCTTTGCTTCTATACAGCAAATCAAGTAATCCAAAGTATTCAGATTACTTTACTCACTTTAAGTAATTGAATGGATTATGTTACAAACTACATTTTGAGGTATGTAATCTGTAATCTGTAGGGGAATACATTTTAAAAGTCACCTTCACAACACTGGTGTCTGGTTAGTTTAAAAATAATATACTTTTTTATATTTGTTAACACAGTATGAAGCTTACAGTCATTATTGTGTTTTTATAAGTAAAGCTAAAAGGAAAATTGTATCAGGTTTTTATAAATACAGATTTGGGGCCTAAAACATGAACGTGACATATCGTTCTGTTTCCATGACAACAGCTGTGCGGTTTCAAAAACATTCCCCATTTAGCGAACGTTAACTAACTTAATTAAAGATTTTTCAAGACTTTATTTAAAGATTTTTTTAAGACTTTAATTCAAGATTTTGGACATTGGTGAGTAGTTAAAGTGAGTCTATTTTATTTACTGTTACTGTTTTATCAGTAAATACAATATAACGACAATAGCACATATAATTCTGTTACCAGGAGCTAATGCTGGCTAGCCACTATTAGCATTAGCATTAGCATTGTAACTGTAAACTAACGACAGGGTTAATTAAGCTAAGTTTACATTAGCTATTTTATTTCAAATGTCGGTTGCATTTAACTATCTTAATGTTAGCCTACATTTTCTTTAGTTTTTCTTTAGTTGGTTTGGATCAGATTCTCACTGCACATTTGGTAAATCAGTTGACTGTAAAAAGTAAACAAATACCCGTGTACGCACAATGAGCACACACGCTGGACAAAACTGACACTGGGCTTTGATACACGTGAATAAGAAGAAGAAAATTATGAAGTATAGGGGTGGCACGGTTCATGGAAAAAAAATTATATAATAAAAAACAGTTCCCGGCTTGCGCACTGTAGCCTCGTGCCCGTATGTGTCCTGTTTCTGTTTTGGCACAAAAGAAGAGGTGTGGAGGACGGGGTGCTGCGCAAATGGCAAGTGCCGCCCGGAGATGGAGGCAGTGTTGGGGAGTAACGGACAGTGTTGGGAAGGTTACTTTTAAAATGTAATCCCCTACAGATTACAGATTACACACCCCAAAATGTAGTTTGTAACGTAATCCATTAAATTACTTAAAGTGAGTAACGTAATCGGATTACTTTGGATTACTTGATATTGTCATGTTTTTTTAAACGACATGAATGTAGCAACCACATCCTGAAAATTCTTGTTTGTTGTCTTAAAATTGTCTGAGCCCAAGTCTCCATGAATAAGCAACTGTTTACTGTAGAGAAACAAAGACCAGGAAATCTTAATATAAGAGGTTTTGTCTGTTTAAAGACAGTAACAAGATCAGCTTTTCCTTCACCATATTAAAAAATATTATTGATAGAGAAATTATTTTTTATATAAGATCACCTTAAATTATGTCAACCTACTGTTAGGTGTCATGTTGTTTAGACCTGGTTTAGTCCTGGTTTAGTCCTGATTTTTAGACCTGGTTTACTCCTGATTTTAGACCTGGTTTAAACCAGGTCTAGACCAGGTCTTTAGTTCTGGTTTAGTCGTGGTTTAGTCCTAGTTTAAACCTGGTTCAGTCCTGCTTTAGTCCTGGTTTAGTCCTGGATTAGTTCTGGTTTAGTCCTGGTGTTAGTTCTGGTTTAGAGGCGCACAGGAGGAAGCGCGGTTTACGCGAGAAAACACGTTCCACACGCGGCGCACGAGACGGCGGGGTCCGCGCTGTAACTACGGAAGGAGACGTGGTCCGCGGGTTCTCAGGTTGATGACGATGATGAAGGTGTGTGTGTGTGTTTGTGTGTGTTTGTGTGCACGTCCACTCATGTCGCAGGTCACTATAGGACAGTAGTGCAGATATTATGAGTCTATGCAGGTTGTTTTCACCAGTGCCAGTAGCTCCTGTTTCACATTTAAGTTGTAGGCGATTTTATATTTGTTTTTTTTATATATATATCTCACATCGGGAGAAGAATTTCCAAGACACAAATGCGTTTTTACCAATGCACTGCTGCTTCCACTGTGTGACTGACACCGCCAACTTTAACATGACGTTTACGTCGCTCTTATTGCGCGCGTTTTGTTTGGGTTTCCGGCAATGAGTGGAATTACCTAAATAAAAAAAATTATAAATGGAATGTAGCACAAAATGTGAAAACAGGAAAATACCGCCTTGTAATCCACTTATTTCAGCAAAGTAACTGTAATCCAATTACCACTCATTGAAACAGTAACTGTAACGGAATACAGTTACTCATAATTTGTACTCTGATTACGTAACGGCGGTACATGTAATCCGTTACTCCCCAACACTGGTAACGGATTACATGTACCTGAGTTACGTAATCAGAGTACAAATTATGAGTAACTGTATTCAGTTACAGTTACTGTTTCAGTGAGTGGTAATTGGATTACAGTTACTTTGTTGAAATAAATGGATTACACGGTGGTATTTTCCTGTTTTTCGGTAATTCCACTCATTGCCGGAAACTAAACTAGATCTAAACCAGGTCTAAACCATGACTAAAACCAGGACTAAAACTAGACCTAAACTAGACCTAAACTTGACCTAAAACCAGGTCTAAACTAGACCTAAATTAGATTTAAACTAGACCTAAACCAGGTCTAACCCAGGACTAAAACCAGGTCGAAACTAGACCTAAATTAGACCCAAACCAGGTCTAAACCAGGACTAAAACCAGGTCTAAACAAGATCTAAACTAGATCTAAACTAGACCTAAATTAGACCTAAATTAGACCAAAATTAGAACTAAACGAGGTCTAAACCAGGACTAAAACCAGGTCTAAACTAGATCTAAACTAGACCTAAATTAGACCTAAAACAGGTCTAAACCAGGACTAAAACAGGATTTAACAGGACTAAAAAACATCTTATGTAATGATATCCTTGTCTTTGCTTCTTTACAGAAAATCAAGTAATCCGAAGTATTCAGATTACGTTACTCACTTTAAGTAAATTAACGGATTACGTTACAAACTACATTTTGGTGTGTGTAATCTGTAATCTGTAGGGGAATACATTTTAAAAGTCACCTTCCCAACACTGGATGGAGGATGCGCCAGTGTCATTACCTTGCGAAACCACAGCCGCCCCTCAACGCAAAAGCGGCTCCACCGACAGCTGCAGCAGGACGTACACGCGCAGATGCAGTTTTTACGAAATACGCATACAGTGGAGCCAGGCCCTTAAACTTGCAGCCAAGTATTCAAGTATCCCGACTTCTGAGGAGGGTTAGGAAGGTGGTAACATTTTTTCACCGAAGCACAACAGCTGCCTATGTCCAATAATAATGTGCTTAAAGTCAAGTCAAATTCAGTTTGTGTATGATTACATTACTGACTATAATTTTATAACTTTTTGAAAATTAAATTGTGGATAATTAAGTTAACATAGCCTATGATGACGTATATTTCTGGAGATTAAAGATTAAAAAGAAAAAATGACAACAAGAACCGTACCAAACAGAAAACCATGACCTTAAACCGCATTACGAACCGAACCGTGAATTTTGTGAATCGTGCCACCCCTAATGAAGTAGCATATGCTCTATTACTAAAATATGTGTTGATGTTTTGTTTTAGGAGTGTGAAAATGCAGAAAGGTAAAGCACCTGCCAGTCAGGACGCTGATGCTACAGGTAACACAAAATCTAACAACTATTTATTCTTTTGAGAACATTTGTACAAACTGGAACAATAACAGAATTTTAGCATGATATATTGCTACAGAGAAATATAACACTAAACGATAATATTGAAACTACTTTATGCCACTGAAACAATTACAATAATGCAAGGTAATCCCAGTAAAACGTTTTTGAATAAATAGAATCATTAAAAGGCCTGAACTGAAACAACTTAAAAACAGAATGAACCAATAGTTAACCAGCAGCTCAAATCTTATAACCAGTGTTGGGGAGTAACAGATTACATGTACCAGAGTTACGTAATCAGAGTACAAATTATGAGTAACTGTATTCAGTTACAGTTACTGTTTCAGTGAGTGGTAATTAGATTACAGTTACTTGGTTGAAATAAATGGATTACACAGAAGTATTTTCCTGTTTTCACATTTTGGGCTATAGCCCCCTTCTTTTTTTTTTTTCTCGGTAATTCCATTCCATTGCCAGACACGAAACCAGGTCTAAACCAGGTCTAAACCAGGTCTAAAACCAGGTCTAAAACCAGGTCCAAACCAGGTCCAAACCAGGTCCAAACCACGTCTAAAACCACGTCTAAACCAGATCTAAACCAGGTCTAAATTAGGACTAAACCAGGACTAAAACCAGGTATAAACCAGGTCTAAACCAGGTCTAAAACCAGGTCTAAACCAGATCTAAACCAGGACTAAACCAAGACTAAACCAGGACTAAACTAGGACTAAACCAAGACTAAACCAGGACTAAACTAGGACTAAACCAAGACTAAACCAGGACTAAACCAAGACTAAACCAGGACTAAACCAAGACTAAACCAGGACTAAACCAAGACTAAACCAGGTATAAACCAGGTCTAAACCAGGTCTAAAACCAGGTCTAAACCAGATCTAAACCAGGACTAAACCAAGACTAAACCAGGACTAAACCAAGACTAAACCAGATCTAAACCAGGACTAAACCAAGACTAAACCAGGATTGCAGTGAATTGCTTCACGCCGCACAGACCTACATCAGAGTATCAGTGTTTTCAGGCATCCACACAGTGCTGGATCTGTACTTGGATGAATTAGTGGGAGCTGGCGGCACCAGATCATTCCATCTCTGGAGCCGTTTTCCATTGGATTAGTGTGAAAGAACACTGCATCCACAACCAAAACAACTGGAATACGTATTAGTGTGGACGGGGCCTAAATTGATTTATGTCCAGACTTTAATCTATATGGATGGTCCTTCTAATATTATGTCCCAAGCTTTGAATACAACCATCCTTTTGGGTAAATATCACCTTCACAAATGTAAATGGAAAAATTGTAAACCTTCTGTGACTTGTTTTAAAAATGAATTGAAGAACTATTTATCGTCTTTAAAAACTATGAGCCAAACTAACGAGTGTCTCCTCTGTATAATACTCCCTACGAACAATGAACACAACCCCAGCCCCTTTTGGAAAAGAACTTTAACCCTTTTATGGACAATGAACTATTTTCCCACTTGGACAATGAACTTATCTTTATGCCTTGACTATATGTTTACTTAATCACATATGAATTCAGATAACCCCTGCAATATGAAATGTATTCTCTGTGCTTATTTACTTACTTATTTAACTTTTATTATTCTCTGCTTGACCCTGTCAGTGGCATTAGAGTGTTATGTATTTTTTGTTATTGCCCAACTTGTGTCTTGTATATTTGAAGTTACTTATTAATTTAAAAAACAAAAAGTATAAATTGATTTTCAAAACGGGAAGGCAATTTGACTTTTAATCATATCTGTATAAATGTGTGCAGAGGAGCAGAGAGAGCAGTACACCAAACTGCGTTCCAGACTTAGGCAGCTGGAGACAGAAAGAGAAGTCCAAAGACGCCAGGCCCAGAACCAGATCTGGAAACAGGAGTAAACTCTTGCAACAACAACAGTTCAACAACAGCACTGCACTACACACAGTCATCACTGATACAGACTTTGTGTCTGAGTCCCTGTTTAGAGAAGATTAAATCATTGTTGTGGGGCGACTTATCTTTGGTTAACAAGCTAGCTAAGCTCTGCACAGTCACAGCAATAACATAGAAACTACCTCCATTTTGCTGTGTATAGCTAAATTGAGCTCAAAAATAGCTCCATGGACAAAAATGACCCCATAGAAAACAAAGAAAGACACTTCGACTGTTAGCTCATCACTCAGTGCAACTTTGCAATAACGGGTAAACTGATGGTCCAATTCTTTTATTTTAACTTTTCAAATAAAGAAAAATATTAAAACCTGTCATAGTGATACTATAAACTTTAAACACAGTCCTTGTGCTGAGTCCGTGCTGTGTGGGTGCCTCGTGTTTTTCAGGCAGGAGATAGAGAGGCTGGTGTTGGAGCAGGACAGACTGAAGAGGGAGCTGAGCATGAGGAACGGAGGTATCGAGCAGAACTGCGAGCAGGAGACTGCGGACAAACTGCAGGAGCTCATGCAGCACTGCACCAGCATCGACCAAGAGCTGGAGTCAGAGGCCCAGAAGCAAAAGGACCTCAACAAACAGGTCTGTCTTTCTCATGGGCTTTTAACTCATACTATGCAACGACGTCATTTAGGGGTGTTCTGTGTCTAATGGTGGAAGGTTTAGTGACACAATACACACATTTGCATATAACCTGATTTTCAAAATAAAAAACTGGGACATTGCTGGTTTGGGTTGGTAATATTAAAATTGTGAGACAAGTGTGTAATTAAGGAAAACTGTTATTCGCTCTGCACTAATGTGAGTCAGTATAGTCACATTTTCTTTGTGTTTTGGTCATTTTTAAGCAGCTTTTCTGTATTTTACTGGGGCAAGTGACCGATACGATGCATAACTCGATACATAGGCCACGATACAAGGCGCATCTTGATACAGTGAGCTTTCGATTCGATACGATATATTTCAAATTTATTCAATACAGTTCAATAAAAAGTATCATGGCTCTGATACTAAAAGTCTTTGTCAAGCCATTTCTTGTGCGAAATTCATACAAAACACAAACATTTTAATCATCAAAACAGTGAAAATGTGAAATGTGTCACATAAATGAGTTTTTCTCTACTAAACAAGTAACAAAACTGTAGCACTGTAACAAAAAAATTCAGTAAAATATACCAAAAAATAATATGTATCGTCAGACTCAAGGCAATGCGCACCCCTATTCAATACGCTATATTTTAAACTGATTTGGAATTGTTAAATAAAAAAATAATCTGCTCACCCAAACATTAGCAATAACTACCAGAAAGTTTTAAGATAGTCTGAAACTCAAGAAAAAAAAGAAAAGAAAAAAAAGATTTAAACACACAGTTTCAGGAGTCTGGGATGAATGAAATCAACAAAAAGCGAGAGTGACTAAACTGAAAAAACTGCTAGGTAGGTTGTGTCTACTGTTATTTGAGAGGACCGTGTGTAAAAATAATCCTACCTGTTGTAGCGTTTCCTAAGTCAGTTCTTTCTGGTCAGACTGTGTTAAGGTAAAGCTTATATATTAAAGTCTGATTTGAGTAACAGAGCTTCAGACAGAGCAGTGCCTATGGTTAGTATCACAGTAAAATCTTTATGACATGAGCTGCAAAGTATCGATAATGTGTCCAACTCAACTGAATCGAAATTGCAATTAGAATAGGTTGCGTGTATGTCATTCTGTAATTTTTCTATTTTTTGATTACGAAAAAGACAACATGACGTAATTATTAACATTTTGATTATTAAAATGGTTTGTTTTATGATGTTAACGGCTATGGCACCGGCGACATTCTGAAACTCCGGGATAAAACTGTGGGAGATTCAGTGTTTTTGAGAGAAATATCCAAACACATGTGACAAATGTTAGGGTTTGTTATTTATCGAGAATGACCGTTTGCGCGCGTGCAGTGTTGGGGAGTAACAGATTACATGTACCAGAGTTACGTAATCAGAGTACAAATTGTTTAATGAGTGGTAATTAGATTACAGTTACTTTGTTGAAATAAATGGATTACATTGCGGTATTTTTCCTGTTTTCATATTTTGGGCTATATCCCCCCCCCTTTTTTTTTTTTCTCACTCATTGCCAGACACTGAACCAGGTCCAAACCAGGTCTAAACCAGGTCTAAACCAGGTCTAAAACCAGGTCTAAACCAGGTCTAAAACCAGGTCTAAACCAGGTCTAAAACCAGGTCTAAACCAGGACTAAACCAGGACTAAAACCAGGTCTAAACCAAGTAATCCAAAGTATTCAGATTACATTACTCACTTTAAGTAATTTAATGGATTACGTTACAAACTATATTTTGGAGGTATGTAATCTGTAATCTGTAGGGGAATACATTTTAAAAGTAACCTTCCCAACAATGCGCGCGTGTGTGTGTGTGTGGTGTGCAGATCTCGGACTTGCAGCCGATGTTGTTGGATCTGAGGAAAGACAAAGAAGACGCGCAGAGGTCCAGGAGGAAGAACATCAAGCAACGGCGCATCCTGGAGGACAAAGTGCACCGGGTCAGTGCACACAGCTCCACTCACTCTCAAAAAACATGAAATGAATATGTCATGGAGTTTAGCAAATTCATTGAAAGTTTTGGAAAAGTTATGGAATTTTAGTATGTCTTTTACACAACTACAGCGTTCTGCTAAGTTATGATTAGACTACTATGATTATTTCTGAACATTTGCGCCTTTTGTTTAAAAGAGACGACAATAAATACACTGACAGGATTTTGAATGTTAAAAAACTATAATATCAAACCATAAGGTGAGTGGAAAGGGTTAACATTTCATATTTAGCCCTAAAAGTCTGATCAGTTCTACACATGTAGGTGCCATAAAATCATGGAAAAGTCATGGAAATGTTTTGAAATTTTGTCAGTGAAAACGAGTGGGAACCCTGTAAATAAAATGTCAAATGGAGCTTAAAAACTACTGCTTCGTGACATCACTAAGTGGCACAGAGCATTTTGAGCTTTGGAGATGTAGACAGACTAATAATAAAGAGTTACTCAAACATGTGTGAAAACAAAAAAATCAAAACAAAACAACTCCAGGTCTGTTTTTGACGAGATAACAACATTATAACATGACTTAAAGCTCACTAGAGTCAGTTTTGTGTAATAAACATACAGTGTCTTGCATTTACTTAGTTACAGGTGTTTTAATGTTTAAAGAACATAGCAAAAACATTCTTAACTGTAAGTGAAGTCGCCTCTCCACAGATCTGACCTGCCACCTGGCCTGGTGGTTCAGTCTGCTTGTCTCCATGAAAATAGAATAGTCAAGGTCCATGCGTTATTGTGGATATACAATGTACGTAAAGAAATATAATCTTTTTATGCTGTTGTTTTGTATTTAGGTAACACTTTATAATAACAACACCTTATTTAGCCTTAATAAAGCATGAACAATGGCTTAATTAATAATGAAGAAAGACTTAATTAATAATTATTCCTGCTTAGTAACTGCTTACTTACACCTTAATTAGCACTTGCACTTAATTTGCCTGTGCTGTAAATAGTTACTCGTAATTATTTCATACTTAATTACTCATGAACTAACCATTTGAGCATTTATTAATCATTAGTAAGCTATGAGAGAATGATTTACTAATAATGCCATGCAATGATAATTCAAGTGAAGACGAATTATGCTTTATTAAGCATTTACTAAGCGTGAATCATTATTAATTAAGTCTTTGTTCATTATTAATTAAGTCTTTGTTCATTATTAATTAAGTCTTTGTTCATGCTTTATTATGGCTAAGTAAGGTGTAGTTATTATAAAGTGTTACCTGTATTTGTTGTGGGTCTTGCTCTTTGTTTTTGTGTTTTGTTTTTATGTTGATTATTTTATTTGGTTAAATGTTATATTCAGTTTTTCTTTAATAAAAAAAAAAAGAAAAAGAAAAAAAAGAAATATTATCTTCATGGAGACGAGCAGATGGCGAACCCTAGACTAGAAAAGTTTCACAGTGCAGCTTTAAAGTACCTGTTGTGTACAAAAACAAGACAAACGCAAACTTTATTGATCCACATTTGAAATTACAATATCTTACAAATTACAATAAAATAGCTCGTTATAATAACAAAGAGTGACTAAATGGTGATAAACCTTTAAATAAATAAAGCAAATGTGAAATAAGGTTAAAAAAAACAAAACAAACAATTTAACTAATTTATAAATATATAAAAGTAATTTGAAACATTTTTAGGCTAATATACAAGAGGTGGAACAAGGACATACAAAGCCAAGTTAAAGTGGTGGCTCTGACGTGATACTGGTTCCATTCGATCTGTTAATTTCTGTGATCGAGACCCCCGTTATCCTCCGTCTTTAGACAGATCTGATATTCTGCCCCCTACAGGCCACGACAAAGTTTAACGAGCAGGTGAGCAGGAACAGTGAGCTGCGGAAGGAGATACAGACCGTGATTGGAGACATGGCGCGCTGGCAGGCTATGATCAAGAGCAAGAAGAAGGTCAGACACACTACGGACACACTCACTCCTACTAATTGTTTTTCTAAGCTCAAAACTGAAAACTCTGTTTGCCTAATTTATCCAGTTTCTCTCATTGAGCCTCAAGACTGTTGGAATTACACACAGTTGATGTTTTTCTTATAGGTCATTTATATCTACTACAGGCTGCCGAAAGAAAAACAAAACTAAATTCATTTAAACAACACCTTTTTGTGAGCATGTGATTATCCGTTTAGGAGTTAGATTTTCGGCAAAAAGGTGAGAGTGACAATAATTGAGGGAACAGTGCAGATCAGCTCACCCGTCGTAGTTCCAGCTCAGATTGTATGTAGTCTTCTTGAGTTACAGAGCAGTGCCTCCAGTAAGCTTCACCCTCCTCTCTCTCTGTTATCAGTGAGTATCAGTGTGGTTTAACCTGCCTGCGCCCAGTGCTCCTCACTCTACACTTATACACAAGAAGAGCGGAATTCGTCCCAAAGCGTTTGCATTTTTCACCACACATTTTCTACAGTATTGATACTTTGCAGCTGATGATGTCAATATTACCCGGTTGGTGTGATGCCGAAAAGTGACAACTGAAAGCACTACACAGTTGAAGCTCTGTTACTCAAATTAGGCTTTAATCTGATCTTTGTTTTAACACAGTCTGAAAAATCTCTCACACATAAGGTGACCGGATGTCCCTCGTTTACTCGGGACAGTTCCACTTTTGAGTCCTGTGTACCCTGTCCCAGCAGATTTATACAGAACCAGTGATTTGTCCCAGTTTTGTACAAGAAATGTCCTAGGTGCCCTTATTTTTGACCAATTTGATCCCTACCTACAATAAAGAGAGGCATAAATTGTCGTCTGGTTCGGTAAAATACAGAAAAGCTGTTTAAAAATGACCAAAACATAAAGAAAATGTGACTATACTGACTCACAAGTCGTACATAAATCACGAATGAGCAGATTTTTCCTTAATTACGCACTCGTTTCACAGTTATATTATTACAAAGCACCACAAACCGGCAGTGTCCAGTTCTTAATTTTGAAAACCTCATCAGCTTACTCATTCTCGCCTTTTTGCTGAAAATGAAACTCCTAAACTGGACCATGAACGCCCGCACTGATCACAGGTTCCTGAAAATGTGCTGTTTAAATCCATTTTGTGTTTTCTCTTGAGTTTTTTCTTGAATTTGCGTTGTGTCACCATGGTAACTACTGAACATTCCCCCCATACAGACACATGTAAAACGCCCCAGCCTGATGTCACTTCAGAATATTAGTTGTTATATAATGTGTTTTTCAGGAGGCCCTTGAGCTTCGAGAGGCGATAAAAACTACCACTGATGAGTATCTTGCTGCGTGTGAAGCCAGGTAAAAATATGATCCTGTAAAGTTGTGTTACTGATTTATTTAGTACATAAACAAAACATAGTTACACCTTTAAAGAGTGGGAATTTTACTTCTATGGGTGTAGTGGACCAAACAAAAAGGCAAAGACAGGGTATAAAAATAAGTTTAAATTTAATAAATAAATTAAAAAAATAATTTAACAAAGGCTCAAATTAGGTAAATAATTAACAAAAAGCCGGGTCCGTCCAACTGGGGCAACTTAAATCAAACTGAACAGAACAAAACTAACCCGACCAGACAAAGAACAGGGGAGTTTAAATACATGAGGGTCAAATAAAACTGAACACAAGAGGGGGGAATTTACACTAAATCATTGACTAAAACTACTAACTTAATTAAAGTAACAAAAAGGGGAATAATTATAATACAGAAAATAATAAGTGATAATAAAGTAACCTTAAACAAACTCATTTAGCAAAACTAACTAAATAGTGCTCCTCTTTGTTCGTCGTGGATGGTTTTTGCCAAGGGTCGTCTGTCTGGCCACTCAAATAAAAAAAGAACAAGTGTAAGTAATAATTCAGACTTATATTAATTGTATTAATATGTACATTAATATAATATAGTTAATATACTTTTAAATTATATAACTTATATTATTAGTCTTTATCTTATCTGATCTTTTATCATATGATCCCCCTTGGACTTTCAGGTCCTCAGGTTCCAGGTTTAATTTAGCTTTTAATTGAAACTAATTTCATATAGGTGGCACGGTGCCTCACAGCAAGAAGGTTCTGGGTTCGATCCCCGGTTTGTCTAGGCCTTTCTGTGTGGAGTTTGCATGCTTCTCCCAGCGTCTGGGTGGGAAATTAGCACTGATGCATCTCTCCTGTTAAGGTTAATGTAAAAATTGTGCACTGTCCCTGTCTCAAATAAATGATATGAATTTAGTTATTATTATTACATTTGTTTAAAATTAAATTATTATTATTTTACTTAGTCTTCATCTAATTTTAGCTCTCCATTTTTAATTTAGTTTTTACTATAATCTTTAGGAGCTTTAAGTTTTATGTTTTTTGTCTAAATTGTTATATATGTGGAAGAAACAATGGGTTGGGGGTGGGGTTCCTGTTGTTTTGTGCTACTTTTCAAATGTATGAAAAGTGCTGTACAAATAAAGTTTGATTGACTGATTGAAAACCACACTGTAATAATGTTTTAAACTGCAGCGTTCGGTCTCACCAGAAGAGTGCAGAAATGAGAGAGACGCTCGCGAAGGAGCGGACGGACTATGACACCGAGATGCAGAGACTTCAACTCGTCGACAACTACGAGGACGCCCTGACACACTTCATCTCGACCAAACAAGACGGGAGAGAGCCCAGCCACGGACACAGACAGGGTACACTGGGCTTCAGATGATTTATGCCACGGGTCATTTAGGGGTGGAGGTGCTCTGCATGTATGTGTATGGCAGAATGTTCACACCAGTTATGATAGTTTAAGATTGTCTGAAAACTCAAGAAACATACAAAATGGGTTTTAAAATGTGCCGTGCATTTTCAGGAGCTTAAATGGGAACTTCTGTTACACAAACTCATAATCAGTGTTGGGAAGGTGACTTTTAAAATGTATTCCCCTACAGATTACAGATTACAGATTACATACCCCAAAATGTAGTTTGTAACGTAATCCATTAAATTACTTAAAGTGAGTAACGTAATCTGAAAACTTTGGATTACTTGTTTTGCTGTAGAGAAGCAAAGACGAGGAAATCTTCACATAAGATGTTTTGTCTGATAAAAGAAAAAAAAAAAACAGACTTTACTTAACTAAATAAAAAATATTATTGTTAGAAGAAGAGGAGACACAGTCCATGCAGCCTGATTTAGTCCTGTTAAATCCTGTTTTAGACCTGGTTTTAGACCTGGATTTAGACCTGGTTTTAGTCCTGGTTTAGATCTGGTTTAGACCTGGTTATAGTCCTAGTTTAGTCCCAGTTTAGACCTGGTTTTATTCCTGGTTTAGTCCTGGTTTGGACCTGGTTTAGACCTGGTTTAAACCCGGTTTAGTCCTGGTTTAGACCTGGTTTTAGTACTAGTTTAGTCTTGGTTTAGACCTAGTTTAGACCTGGTTTAGACCTGGTTTAGACCTGGTTTAGACCTAGTTTAGACCTGGTTTTAGACCTGGTTTTAGACCTGGTTTGGACCTGGTTTGGACCTGGTTTAGACCTGGTTCAGTGTCCGGCAATGAGTGGAATTACCAGAAAAAAGAAAAAAAAAAAAGAGAGATCCATTTATTTCAACAAAGTAACTGTAATCCAATTACCACTCACTGAAACAGTAACTGTAACTGAATACAGTTACTCATAATTTGTACTCTGATTATGTAACTCTGGTACATGTAATCTGTTACTCCCCAACACTGCTCATAATCCTTACAACAACTAGCATGCTAACTGTAAACTTCCTGATACTCAGACAACAAATCACTTTATAATCAGATGCAGACAGCTCACGGTGGATTTATTTTAACCTCCAGAGCTGCTAGAGCAATATATAAGACAAATGCGCAGAACAAAACAGGCGCAGGGTTGTTACGTTTTGTGTTTCGTTCCCGACAGTGACGAAGACGAAGGAGACGAAGGAAAGCCCGGAGGAAGTGCTCGATCGGATCCGCTCCGTGACGGGAGAGGAGAACGTGGACAACTGTGGTAATTTTTACACTGAAATAACACAACTTACTTAATAGCAATGGACAAAATGTATTTATTTTACTCATGTAGTCGAAGTATTATGTTTAATGAGCAGTGTTGTGGAGTAACAGATTACATGTACCAGAGTTACATAATCAGAATACAACTGTATTCAGTTACAGCTACTGTTTCAGTGAGTGGTAATTGGATTGCAGTTACTTTGCTGAAATAAATGGATTACGTGGTGGTATTTTCCTGTTTTCACATTTTGGTTTATATCCCTTATTTATTTATTTATTTATTTGGTAATTCCACTCATTGTCGGACACTAAACCAGGACTAAAACTAGGTCTAAACTAGATCTAAACCAGGTCTAAACCAGGACTAAAACTAGGTCTAAACTAGATCTAAACCAATCTAAACTAGGACTCAAACTAGGTCTAAACTAGATCTAAACCAGGTCTAAACCAGGACTAAAACTAGGTCTAAACTAGATCTAAACCAGGTCTAAACCTGGACTAAACCAGGACTAAATCAGGTCTAAACTAGATCTAAACCAGGTCTAAACTAAATCTAAACCAGGTCTAAACTAGATTTAAACCAGGTCTAAACCAGGACTAAACCAGGATTAAAACCAGGTCTAAACTAGATCTAAAGCAGGTCTAAACTAGATCTAAAGCAGGTCTAAACTAGATCTAAACCAGGACTAAAACCAAGTCTAAACTAGATCTAAACCAGACCTAAACCAAGACTAAATCTGGATTAAAACCAGGTCTATGCCAGGTCTAAACCAGGTCTAAACTAGGTCTAAACCAGGTCTAAAACAGGATTTAACAGGATTTAATCATGCTGCGCGGACCGTGTCGCCTCCTCGTCTATCAATAATAGGAGCCGGAAGAGCCTCCTGGAGAACTTCCTATTTGGCACATGGCGGCTACAGTGTTAGATCTGTCCACTCATATATACAGTCTATGGTTGTATGAAAGTGATGATGATAATGATGATGTATAGAAAATGTCTCATAAAAAAGTTGTGTAATCATATTGTGTCTAAATGTGTGTGTTTACATCCAATATCCAAATTTTATGTTAGCTACTTTTAAACTCTTTGAGTTATCTGACCAGCTGCATGTGATGTTTATAATTTGTTTTACCCATATTGTTGATGTATTTCAGCAGGATCATTTAAAAAAAAAAAAAAAAACATGTTTTTGGAGGAACATTAAGTATTACATGTGAATATTACAGTGAAATTGCAAGAAAACAACCAAACTGGGTCATTTTTGACCCACTTATTCATCTAAGGGTTAATTTGGGTAGGTCTTACAGGTTTGTAACTAGCACCATTTGATTCCCTGACCCTGAAAATGTGGGTTTAGCAGTTAAAATCAACATTTCAATTTATTCAGAGGCTGAGATATTCCAAAAAGTGTTTTTTGGTGGCCATTTAAAAAAAAATCCAATATGGCCACCATAAAGACATGTGGGAAAATGCAAACATTGATTTTCTGACTCCATATACTATAACCTTTCCAAAAATATATAGGTTAGCAAATCCCCAAAAAATTCCCACAAAAGTATATAAGGAACCGGACTATATGTAATCTGTAATCTGTAGGGGAATACATTTTAAAAGTCACCTTCCCATCACTGTTAATGAGTAAGTTCTACTATATCAAAGTTTTACAATTGCTACTCACAAACTCAGAAATACTAAGTAATACCAAAGTCCTTCTAGATACGTCCTGGAACTCGGTGGCTACGCATTTGAGCCAAAACAAAAAAAATATATCACTGGTGGTTGTACAAATAGAATAAGTTTGCATTATGTCATATTCACGTGTTCGTTTATGTGTTCATTTAAATCTCGTCTCACCACAAAGTATCTGTTACAGCTGAGGACCACATCGTCACCGTCTTCAAATCTGTGAACGAACAGAACAACGAGATCGCGTTGAGCGACGGCATCGAGCAGGTGAGAAGAAAATACCATTACGTAGAAAAGGATGGCACCAGGTCTGTCCTAATTTGTGCGATGTGTGCGGACGTTCAGGTCCAGGCGGAGCTGGAGAAGTTCGAGGTGAGGAGTCAGGAGAGGAAGCAGAGGCACAGAGTCAAAATTGCGGAGCTCTCCAAGCAGCTGGAGGAGGTGGAGGAAAGAACGGCGCACTATGAAGAACAGGCCAGGGTCAAAAGTGACATCCTGGAACGCCTCAAAACAGGTCATAGATTGTGTGATTTTTTTTATATTTTTGTTTTGACTTAGACTTAAGGCCCGTTCAGACCAGAGTGTCAAGGTGTCCAGTTTATATACAAAGTCAATGTGGACGCGCGTCTAGGGTGTCCGGCGTTTTTGTGGCGTGAATTTGGCATCAACATGTCTTGAGCGTTCTGGCATCGACACTCAGGGCGTCGGTGTCAGAAGTTGAAAATGCTGAACTTTTCACTTCAGACGCACCACGTCAACCAATCAGGGACGAGTATCCAGAGACGTAGTGACATTATTATCAGGAAGAAAGAGAAAGACCCGAGAACCAAAACGGGAGCCACAAACATTAGCGGAATATAAATATATACGCCACAATACGTGAGGACTACACCAGAACTAGACCAGGACTAAACCGGGACTAAACCAGGACTAAACCAGGATCAGACCAGGACTAGACCAGAACTAGATCAAGACTGGACCAGGTCTGGACCAGGACTAAACCAGAACTAGACCAGGAATAGACCAGGACTGATCTAGTGTCATTAGCGGAGGGACCGGGCACTTGTTTCCAGGGCAACGGAAGTGCGTCAAGTATTTTTCTCCCGTCCAAATAGAGGCGTCTTGGGCGTTTTTTGATGCTTTGGTCTGAACAGGACAAATCAAATTTTATTGATTCACAAAGGAAATTACTTGGACACAAAAGCTCACACATTTCTGTTGTAGTATATTTGTAGGGAGTATTATCTGTTACATAAGGGTGAGTTGTTATACACTTGTAGGGAGTATTATCTGTTACATAAGGGTGAGTTGTTGTACACTTGTAGGGAGTATTATCTGTTAAGTAACATTGAGTTGTTGTACAGTTGTAGGGAGTATTATCTGTTACATAAGTGTGAGTTGTTGTACAGTTGTAGGGAGTATTATCTGTTACATAAGGGTGAGTTGTTGTACAGTTGCAGGGAGTATTATCTGTTACATAAGGGTGAGTTGTTGTACAGTTGTAGGGAGTATTATCTCTTACATAATGTGAGTTGTAAGTAAGTTTTGTTTTTTGTCTTGATTTTCGTGTCAGAGTTTGATGTTTGGTGATGGTATTTTTCTCAGGGCTGAGCTCCATCTCCTCGAAGATCGACTGTGACAAGGGTGAGGACGACTTCAGCTCGCTTATGGGGGCCGTGGACCAGAGGACCAATGAGATGCTCACCATAAAGGCCTGGCTGGACAAAGAGCGTGAGAGCCATTAACAACCTGACACTAGAACCAGAATATTTGAGCAATAAACGTGAGGATTTTGAAGCAAGCAACCACATGTGTGTACAGACTTCTCACTGACTATGGTTCATAATGTTCAGACTTTTTTTTTTCTTTTTACATGTATCTAACAAAAAAAAAGCACCATCAATAATTCATACTAGGCAGTGTGGGTGAAGTCAGTGTCTTGCCTAATGACACAACAACAGTTTGCACTCGACTAGAGACACTGCCGCCCCCTTGTGGTGCCTCTGTGGTCTTGCATCCAAATAATCAGGCCCAGCTTTGCTTCAAATGAGATAAAGGGGTTATTGTCGACTTCTTTATTATAGAAAACATCATAGGAAAGTTTAAATATTTATTTTTGTGACGTGACCCCTTTCCAAGATGCACTAGTAGGCTTAAAAAAGTAGAAAATTTTATTTGATTATAATTAAGATGCCATAGTAATGGAGGGCAGGGGTCTATATAATTCTATGGGAGATTCACTGTTTTGGCTTAAAAAGAACAGAAAACTACATTACCCATGATCCTTTGCTCCATTTCAGCACAGACTACATGAAGAAATAACTTATAAGCACTTTTAAATCGTAGTTATTTGGGTTAAGTCTTGTTAAGGCATTTTAAAAGGAAAAAATAGTGTATCCATAATTTTGTTAACCTCCAGAAAATATCGTAATAAAGATCGTACCGTGAGATTCACAGTTTTGGAAAGAAACTCATCATTATTTGTTGTAAGGAGTATTATCTATTACATAAAAGTGAGTTGTTGTAAAATTGTAGGGCGTATTAGCTGTTACCTAAGGGTGAGTCGTACAGTTGTAGGGAGTATTATCTGTTACGTAAGGGTGAGTCGTTGTATAGTTGTAGGGAGTATTATCTGTTACATAAGGGTGAGTTGTTGTACAGTTGTAGGGAGTATTATCTGTTACATAACGGTGAGTTGTTGTACAGTTGTAAGGAGTATTATCTGTTACATAAGGGTGAGTTGTTGGACAGTTGTAGGGAGTATTATCTGTTACATTAAAGGCAAGTTGTTATACAGTTGTAGGGAGTATTATCTGTTACACAAGAGTGGGTTGTTGGACAGTTGTAGGGAGTATTATCTGTTACCTAAGGGTGAGTTGTTGTACAGTTGTAGGGAGTATTATCTGTTACATAACGGTGAGTTGTTGTACAGTTGTAAGGAGTATTATCTGTTACATAAGGGTGAGTTGTTGTACAGTTGTAAGGAGTATTATCTGTTACATTAAAGGTAAGTTGTTATACAGTTGTAGGGAGTATTATCTGTTACACAAGAGTGGGTTGTTGGACAGTTGGAGGGAGTATTATCTGTTACCTAAGGGTGAGTCGTTGTACAGTTGTAGGGAGTATTATTTGTTACATAACGGTGAGTTGTTGTACAGTTGTAAGGAGTATTATCTGCTACATAAGGGTGAGTTGTTGGACAGTTGTAGGGAGTATTATCTGTTACATTAAAGGTAAGTTGTTGTAGGGAGTATTATCATCATCTCACTTTTTATTTATTTATCTTGAGCTTCGAGTCAGTTTTGAAGTTTACTATCTTTCTTCAACATTTTCTTTTTTTTTTCGTTTTATTTGTGGAATTTCTTGAGTCTTCACGCGGCCGAGTGTGATTGGTCCAGCTGTGCGTGCGTGCGTCCTGCGTGTCCCGGAAGCAGAGCCGACGAGGAGCAGGCAGGCAGGCGCATCAGGCTGTCATCTCCTGTCGGCAACTTCTGTCTCAGTCAGGTGGTTTTTTCGGGCTAAAATGGACACCTGGAACAAACTGAAACAATTCGACGCTTACCCCAAAACTCTGGAGGATTTCCGAGTGAAGACATGGGGCGGAGTGACCGGTGAGTTTGGAAAATCGCGTTAGAAAAGCTCAAATGATACTGTTAGCATTTGGGGCTAACAACACGGCTAACTGATTCAATCCGGCTTTTTCTTCCTAAAATTACTGAATTCTTAAACGCAACTAAATGTCAAGGTTTTTGTGCAAGATTTACAGTGAAATAAACGTTAGAACAATAAATTACATGTCTAAATCGTGTAGAATAGGCTATTTTTCTTGAATCTTATTAATAAATGGACACAATGCAAGTAATTATTGCATAAAATGTATTATTTAATATTACATTTGAAATACGTAGGGAATAGTGTAGGTGATTAAAGGTAATTTATTACACAAAATAGATTCTTGTGAACTTTAAGCCATGTTATGATTCATATACTTTGAATCTTTAATATAAAAAAATTGATTTCCCTTTATGAATTATATTTCTACTACTTTTTATTAACGCTGCTAATTAAAATTAAAGAGCCCATATTACACTGTTTTCTTATCTATGTCACAATGTTGTTACCTCCTCAAAAACATGCCTAGAGTTGTGTTTTGTTTTATTCACACGTGTTTGAGTAACTCTTTATTATCAGTCTGTCAACATCTCCAAAGCTCAAAACGCTCTGTTCTACCTTGTGATGTCATGAAGTGGTAGTTTTCAAGGTAACAGCAACAATTCCAGGGCTGAAGTCACTAGGGCTGTGCAAAAATATCGGAATATCGATATATCGTATCGTTTAATGTGATGATACAGTATCGATATCGTGGGCTACTGTATCGATATTTCACCAAGAGTATTTTTAGGAGTGTTTTACTGAATTATTTTGTTACAGTGCTACATTTTTGTTGCTTGTGGAGTGAAAGGAAGCTCATTTATGCGACACATTTGACATTTTTACTGTTTTGAGGATTAAAATGTTTGTGTTTCATATGAACTTTTCACAAGAAGTGGTTTAACAAAGACTTTTAGTATCAAAGCCATGATTTAGCCTTTATTTTTTATTGAACCGTATCGAATCGATTTGAAATATATCGTATCGACTTATATATACATATATCATATCACTAGGGCTGTGTATCATTAAGAAGTTGCCGATACGATACATACCTCAATACACAGGGCATGACACGATACATGTCTCGATACAGTGCACTTTTGATTCAATTCGCTATATTTGAAATCAATTTGATATGGTTCTATAAAAAATAATAATCATAATGTGCCAAGTTCATATGAAACACAAACATTTTTACATTTATCGTCATCAAAACAGTGAATATGTTAAATGTGTCGCATTAAATGAATTTCTTTTCGATAAACAAGCAACCAAACTGTAGTGCTGACAAAATAACAAAATAAATTAGGAAAATATACCAAAAAATACTCTTGCCTGTATATCGATACAGAAACACCCGATATTGATACTGTATCATCACATTAAACAATACGATATATATCGGTATTTCAATATTTTTACACACACCTAGAAGTCACCCCAGTGATTCTCGTGAAGGTGTGTGGAGTTTAAAAACATGGTGGAGTGCTTCCTTTATTATTGCATGACATGAAAAGGCGAAACAAGACGAGTGTTTTCATCTTGAGAGAAGAATTCTGCTTAAATATTCAGGGTTTGCGTGTTAAACGTGTTTGAAGGAAACAAAACACAACTCCAGGCATGTCTGTGATGAGGAAACAACATTGTGACATAGATCAGAGAACAGTTTAACATGGGCTCTTTAACATAAGTTATCAGCGTTAATAAAAGTAGTAAATGTACGCTGTCTATAACTCATAATGGGAAATTAAACTTTGGTATTATAGTTTCAAAGTATATGAATCCAGATATCAGAAAAGGAATGTGTTGTAGCATTTTTTTTCAAGGTGTTTAGCAGAAATGAACAAATACGTTCAATTCAATTCAAGTTTATTTATACAGCACATTTAAAACAACTTCAGCTGACCAAAGTGCTTCACATACAAGTCAACAAAATACAAGAAACAGTTACAAATACAAGTTAAAGCTGCACTATGTAACTTTTCTGCATGTCTCTATGGAGATATAATTACTGTTTGAATTAAAATTGTCTGTCTCCAAAAAGACAAATGCGATCTACCACCAGTCATGTAGAGAGGTGACTTTGCTCTAGTTAGGGTTGTCCAAAAATATTGAAATATTGATGTACCGTATCGTTTAATGTGACTATACAGTATTGATGTTGTGGGCTCCTGTATCAATATATCACCAAGAGTATTTTTAGGTATATTTTACTAAATTGTTTTGTGTAAGAGCTACATTTGTGTTGATATTTTCACTGTTTTTGAGTAAAATGTGTGTTTTTCAGATTTGTTTCACACACACTTAGTGGTTTAATAAAGACTTTTATTATCAGAGCTGTGGTTTAGCCTTTGTTTTTCAGTGAACCGTATCAAAACGGTTTGAAATATATGTCGCAGAGGTGGAACCAAGTCGTTATTTTGCAAGTCTCAAGTAAGTCTCAAGTCTTTGACCTCAAGTCCGAGTTAAGTCCCAAGTCAAAGACAGGCAAGTCCAAGTAAAGTCTCGAGTCAGTGGCCCATAAGTCCAAGTCAAGTCCAAGTCGTTTGCTTTAAGCTTCAAGTCATTTCAAGTCTTTAAACAGATTTTTGCTGTTTATATGAATTTTAAACCAAATTGTACTTAAAAATATTTTATATTCATATATGAGTGTTTCTATAAGAGTTGTAGAAATGCTCATTTTTCCTTTTTAAATGTCTTGTCAAGATCTTAGTGCGAATCATTATGGTCAGAACAGAAAGTCTTGTCAAGTCTAAGGTTTGAAGTCCATGTCAAGTCCCAAATCATTGAGCTTCAAGTCCAAGTCGAGTCCCAAGTCTTAGTCCATTTTATCAAGTCAAGTCTCAAGTCCTAAAAATAGTGACTCAAGTCTGACTTGAGTCCAAGTCACGACTTGCAAGTCCCGACCTGTGTTATGTCGTATTGAATCGAAAGTGCACTGTATCGATAAAAGTATCATATCGTGGCCTGTATCGTATCGGCAACTTCTTAACATTTTAAACTCGATTTTGATACTAAAGAATAGACTCGATACTCAACACTCAATACCGATTCCGATACCACGATGATAATAAAAACACTTCTTTCTTCACTTTCTTTAGGCAGTAGGACAACATTAAATCATAGTACTTTCTTTTCCTTCCCGTATACTAGTCCATGTGCTCTTATACTTGTTCTGATACAGCTCAAAATCATTCTAAAACTATTGAGGGGAGGTTAATTTCTGTCCTGTGAATGTGACTTTTTAGTATCTATACCTGCTCAAATGAGTATCTAGTTTTTGATACTAGTTTTAGAAACACTTGTAATTGAATAAATCTGTGTTCGATAAGCCTGGAACATTCAAGACAAAATAATATTATCTCAAGGATGGTGGACTCCAGATCTGAAAAATTACACTGTGTACCTTTTAAAAGATGTTTCAGGAATTTGCCTCTTTCTAGTTTTGTGTAATTGTGTAATTAACCCATGTGTTCTTTCTTGTGTGTTTGTGTTTTTCAGTGACTCTGATCAGTGGCGTGATCATGTTGATTCTGTTCATCTCCGAGCTGCAGTATTATCTCACGAAAGAGGTGAGTCCAGAGCACAAGCAAATCCAAGTCATTTGTTTACACCTTTGCAGTCTTCAAAACCAAAGCAACAACTGAAACTGAAATCTGAACGGATAGAGAAATGCTGGGTTTCAATACTTTGCAGTTACATCGCGCTGGGGGTGTTCTGCATGTATCTCGAATAACTGAAATGTCTTTATCGTATCGTCAAAGGTCGCAACAATATCGTGGACCATCACAGTATATTGAATTACAAGTCTCTTTGCTTAAATTAAGAGTTATGGTGCAGCAATGGTTAAAAAAAACAGAGGGAACTACATAGACCATGATCCTTTGCTCCATTTCAGTGCAGAATATAAGAAGAAATAACAGTTCTAAACACTTTTAAGTCTTAGTTCTTTGGGTTTAGTCTTGTCAAGGCATTTTAAGAGGGAGCTGTCGGGAGAACTGAGTCGATTTATCGACTATCGACATTCATCAGAACGCGGCATTACATCCCTAATCTCTAATGGTGGAACATTTAGGCGTTACCATGGTGACCAACAACTGCGCACACACGAGCAAACACGTTCAAAAAATGTTTCAAGATTGTCTGAAAACTCAAGAAGAAAAAACACACAATGGATTTAAACTTCATTTCAAGTTCATTTTCAGGAGCCTGTGATCAATATGAGCGTACATGGTCCTGTTTAGGTGTTTGATTTTCTACAAAAGTAATTTATATTTATTTATTTTGTGTGTGTTTTTTACTGTCATACATGTGTCGTGTGTTGTAAACATTTAGCACTGTATTTTGTATTTTATTTTTCTTGATTTTGTCTCTTGTCTGCAAAGAAAACTAAACTCTGGCCCTAAAACAACAAAAAAAATACATATAATAATAAAAATAAATAAAACATATGGTAAAATGGTATTGTTTGGTTTTGATTTATGGGTGAGTTTGTTGTACAAAAGTTGTGTATTTTGTGCAATAATCTCTTCACATTTAAGTGAAGAAAAAGAAAACAAGAAACTCACGAAAAAAATACAAACTGGACTGAAACATCACATTTTTAGGATCCTGTGATACAAGCATTCATGGTCCAGTTTCGGAGTTTAATTTTCAACAAAAACGGTGAAAAACCTTTGGCAAACACTAATAAGCCTGTAACTGTAATGTTATATGAGAGGAACTTGTTTAGCAGCAACAACTCGGCTCACCTATTGTAGTTCCGGCTAAGTCACTTCTTTCTGGTCAGATTGTGTTACAGCAAAGATCAGATTAAAGCCTAAACTTGAGAAACAGAACCTCAGACAGAGTAATGCTTCCAGTTAGCGTGACATCAGCTGCAAAGTATCAATAACACACAATACAGACGTTGTGAGCGAGAATGAATATTGTTAAAATGCAGATTGAGGTTGTAATTCAGTGACTTCTTATGATCGGGTTCAGCGGGAGATGGGACGAGATACGAGATTGGGTCCACGAGCGTTGTTGAGACAAGGCGAGATTTTATAGTAGTTCCTAATATATACATTTTGTGATCAGATTTTTATTCAAGTGTTATTATTTGCAGTTATACATAATCCAGTTAGCATTGCATTTTTCTCCATTTTAAACCCCACACCGCTCACCCTTAAACTCCCTATTGATGGACATCTGGAATAAACATATGTACACACACACATACATACACATAAATATACCCCCCCACATGTCCAGGTTTATATTCCCTCTATACAAAACAAGAGCAAATTTCCTCCATCTAAAGACATCAGCAGAAATTGCGTTATACATACTTATCATGTACCACACATAGAAAGTTGACTGAGAGTATATATATTGTGTACATTCTAAGAGCATACCGTATTTTCTGGATTATAAGACGCACTGTCATTAAATGGTCTATTTTTAAACTTTTTTTTCACAAATAAACCGCACCGGACTTTAAAGGAAACACAACAGTGTGATGGGTGAGTGGTTTTGTTTGTTTGTGGCGTTCACGGTGACTCTGGGCTTTGTTCAGTTGTGGCGTGTAGGGAGGGTGCTGTCTGGGATCGCTGGATTGTCGGCGTGTTCGCGGTGACTCAGTTGTTCGGTTGTGGCTCAGAGTGGCACATTGCGCTCGCTTTTTCGGTTCGTTTCTCCGTTCCGTTCCTCGTCGGCGTGGAGTGATGAGTGTGGCTGCGGGTTTGTTTTTTGCTGCGCAGTCGCTGTCTTACTCAGCATGTGTTTGCATGAGCTGCGGGTGGTGCGGCTTTATAGTTTACTGAAGTCGTGCTGGATTCGTCTGTAGGTTGCTCTGGATTGCGGGGCGGGCGGGCGTTTTTTGATGTGGTTAGAGGCTTAAGAGCGCGTCTAATAGCCCGGAAAATACGGTAAATTATAATGAAAAAACTCCATGTAACAACTATACAATAGATTCAGATCTCAGTTTGATCAGTAGATTGGACCAGCAAGAGATGTTTTTGGCTTTTGCTCCGTGCATTCGAGCAGCAGAAAGCTCCAGTTGAACGATTTCTCTGAAAGATAGGAGCCATTCTCTCACAGTCAGAGGATGAACTGATTTCCACCGGCATATCACCATTTTCTTGGCAGCTGTTTCCAGTTTTTATTTATTTGATTTCATATTTTTGTTTCCATGCTAGATTGGGGTGTGGAAAAATATCAAAATGTCGATATATCGTATCTTTTAATGTGATGATACAGTATCGACATCGTGGGCTGCTGTATCGATATATCGCCAAGAGTATTTTTTTGGTGTATTTTACAAAATTTTACTGAGTTATTTGGTTACAGAGCTACAGTTTTGTTGCTTGTTTAGAGGAAGGCAACTCATTTATGCGACATATTTTACATTTTTACTGTTTTGATGATTAAAATGGGCATTTTTTAGTATGAACTTTGGACAAGAAGAGGTTTAACAAAGACTTTTAGTATCACAGACATGATTTAGCCTTTATTTTTCATTGAACCTTATCAAATCCATTTGAAATATATCGTATCAAATCGAAAGTGCACTTTATCTAGATATGTATCGTATCAGCAACTTCTTAATGATACCCAGCCCTAGGTCTAGTGTTGTCACGATATTAAGAAGTTACCAGTACGATACATACTTCGATACAGTGAACTTTGATTCGATACGATATATTTTAAATCGACTTGACACAGTTCAATAAAAATAAATAAATAAATCATGGCTGTGATAATAAAAGTCTTTGCTAAACCACTTCTTGTGCGAAGTTAATATGAAACACATAGATTTTAATCATTAAAACAGCGAATATTTCAAATGTGTCTCATAAACAAGTTTCCTTCCTCTGAATAATATTAATTGTGTTTCTTTATAAAAAATCAAACAGTATTGTTTTGACAAGTTGGTCGGAGTTTATGTTATGACTAAGCAATGAAAAAGTGAGGTTACAGTACAAAAAATGTCATTAAAAAACACCTCTAAAATAAAAACAGTGCAGCCATATAGTCCATGCATGAGGGAAAATTATAAAATATGTTTATTTTGTAATTCTAAATTAGTTTAAAGGGGCCGGTCAGAGTCAACCGTATTATCATTGCTGTATCAGAATCAAGTCAATTCCTTAAAGTGCATTATCTATGGTTTTCGATACCAAAGCTGCATTGTGTAACTTTTCTTTGGGGGTCGATCACCTGTTTCTATGGATATGTAATTTCTCTGCCCAAAATTTACCACAGTGTGACATTAAACAGCTCTACCTTACATTTATTCAATTACAGGTGGTTTTATAGCTCAAAAATACTCATAAAAACAGACATTCTGACTGTGAGCGGGGTCGCCTCTCCTCAGATCTGACCTGTAACTTGGTCTGGTTTGGTCTCCATGGCGATAGAAAGGTTTAACGCCATACTGTGGAACATTCCAGACAAAGCTGAGACACTCGTTTGACGGAAACTCCACCAGAAAAGTTACACTATGCAGCTTTGGTATCGAAATCGAGTTTGAACCAAGACGTGATAATTGGACGTTAACGCTGATCAAATAATCGTAGCCTTTGTGATTCTGTAATTGTGAGTGTTTAAATTGCGACTGGTTTCCCTCTGCGAGATCGTGCTGAAGAAAGAGACGTGTGTTTCCCCTCTGGACCTGTAGAACTCGTTTGTCGAGCTTTTGCACAAAGAGAATAAGAGATAACAAGACTGTCACCGCTGATGTTTACACACACGTGGAAACATTAGGACGTTTCTTTATTGTGAGGTTAAAGCTGCATTGTGTAACTTTTCTGGTGGAGGTTGCGTCAAATGCGTTCCTCCATGGAGATGTTGTTGCTTTGTCTGGAATGTTTCACAGTGTGGCGTTAAAACGTTCTATCTATCTATTCATGGAGACCAAACCAGACCAAGTTACAGGTCAGATCTGTGGAGAGGCGACCCCGCTCACAGTCAGAATGTCTGTTTTTCTAGGTATTTTTCAATTATAAAACCACCTGTAATTGAATAAATGTGAAGTAGAGCTGTTTAATGTCACACTGTGGAACATTTTAGGCAGAGAATTGACATATCCATAGAAAGAAGCAGAGAAAACGAAAAATTACCTTTAACATCAAGAAAAACAGGCCCTCTACTGTAACACGAAGTTGTGAATTTAGACTTAGTCTGTCCTAAAATCTCCCTGAGGTTTTTTTTCAGAACAGGTTTACCTCCTGCAGAAGTTACACAATGAGACTGACTCGAATAACAAAAAGTGGGGAAAAAAGTGTTTGTTTTTTCCTGCTAAAGTTTGTTTAGAGTCCAGAGAAACCTTACTGATAAGATCTGCAGATATTTTTGGGCCGATAGTTTAGATTTTTCCTCCCCAAATTCTGTAGTTTAAATGCAGAGGTTTATACACAAGTTATTTATTTAAATTTATTTTGCATGTGTTGTGTTTGTAAACATTTAGTGCTGTATTTTGTATTGTTTTTTTTGTATTTTACTTGATTTTTTTTCTCTTGTCTGCAAAGAAAACTAAACTCGAAATATAAAAAGGTTTATGATTTTTAAAAAAAAGGGGTTGTGGGTGTATGAAAGATAATTAGTTCCATCAGATTTTAAATTTTAAATACGACTGAATTTCTCACTTTGAATTTTTTTAATCTGAAAAAAGATGTTTGAATTATTTTTATTCTGAATTTTAGTTGCTGAAATTTTAAGTATACTTTTTCCAATATGTTTCAAATTCAAAATAAAAAAAATCACCTTTTAAATATTAAGCACAGATACTTTCAAGCCCTCAAATTTAAAAGTCAAATTCAGATTGTAAAATTCGCTGTGCAAAATTTCACCACAAAGATTCACGATGCCAAGGCAGAAGCAATTGATCTTGTGTGAGCGAGAAGGACAGAGGCTGTTTCCTATTGGGCGCTCTCATTTGTGGGCGGGGTTTGAGCTTTTGATGAGGCAAATTTTGACCAAATAGATCGTTTCACTTAAATTCAGCAACTAAAATTCAGAATAAAAATTATTCAAACATATTTTTCAGAGTTAAAAGATTGAGAAAGTGAGAAATTCAACAGCATTTAAAATTCAAAATCTGATTAAACAAATTATCTTCCATATGGGTGAGTTTGTTGTAAGAGAGTTGTGTATTCACATTTTGTGCAAAAATCTCTTCACATTTAAGGGTTCAAATAAAGCTTTGCGTGTTCTGGTCGACCAAAACTAAATGTAGGCCTCTGCTGGAGATTTAAGGCCATAGATGAAACGCTTAAAAGTTTAAACCGATTTTAATTACATTATTTACATTTAATTATCAGCGGTTAAGGCAGATAAAGACAGGAGTATTTTTTTTTTGGCAGGTTCACTTCTTAATTTTGTCGGTTTATATAGTGATTTTGATTTAATCACGATTACTCTTGCTGCTCTACTTTTGAGTAAGTTTAAGACCTGAACTCTTAGGTCATACATGTGGGATTCACAAACGTCTTGTAGACTTTTTCCAACACATTTAAAACAAATAAATGAATTTCTGCTTCTGCTTCCCAGTTTATTTATTTATGGGTACTGTAGTCCATAGCTTATGTATGATGAATACTTATCTGTAACAAATAGGGTAGGACAGAGAATATATTACTTGTTGTGCCTGTGAACTTAAATGTTGTCCTTTTTTGTACTTTTAATGTTTATCCTGTCTTGTGTACACATGGGACAGTGAAAAATGTATTTCGATTCCTTTGTATGTCTAATACATGAAAAAAATGAAATGAAAAAGAAATTGAGAATAAAGCAAACATTGGCTTTGACTTTGATGTTTTGTTTCAGTCCAGGTCATGCTTTTCTTTTGTGCGTCTTGTCCTAAAGTCATGAGATGTGTGTTTAAAGTTGATTTTCGTCTTTCGTTCAGGTTCACCCGGAGCTGTACGTGGACACGTCTCGAGGCGACAAACTCAAGATCAACATCGACGTGGTGTTTCCTCATATGCCCTGTGCCTGTAAGAACCACTCTCACTTTATACATCCTAAACCACAACGTTTAATGGTACTAGGGGTGTTCTATATGTATATCTATGGTGAAATGTTCAGTAGTTATCATGGTGAATGTGTGAATGAAACAAAACGCAACTCCAGGTCTGCTTTTGAGGAGGTAACGAAACACTAAAAGCTCACAAGGGTCAATTTTGTGTAATATAGAACCTTTTGAGCTTTAGATTTGAAGTATGGTTGTGTTTCCTCCTCAGATCTCAGTATTGACGCGATGGACGTGGCCGGAGAACAACAGCTGGACGTCGAACACAATCTTTTCAAACAGAGACTCGACAAAGACCTCAAAGCAGTGACGGACGAGGCAGAAAAACATGGTACGAAACTCCATTTTAACCTTTATGTACCGAGATGTCCAAGGTCCCATAGATGGTGATGGTCGACGGAGTGAAAAATGAATGAGGTTTTGATAGTTTTGATAAACATTTTTTCATAGATTAGTTGATTTTTTTTAAACTTGGTATTATGTTTTGTTCATGTCCACTAAGCAGACTATCTCCCTAAACTCCATAGTAGCACTGTTTATGACTGTGTTGTTTTGTGTTTAATGGATTGATTAAGTTAAGTTAAAGGTGCTCTATGTAACTTTTTTGGTTGGGGATCCATCACCTGTTTGTTTCTATGGGTATGTCATAGGGGTGTAACTGTACTCGTATTCATGCCGAACCATTTCAGTATGGAACGTTTGGCCACTTCACGTGCAGCTACACAGAAGGCTCGGCTCTTTAATATTCACGAAGGAACTCGTCCGTGATTGGGGTGGCAGTGTTTTCCGTAGCGCTTTATAGTTTGGGTGGTCGCCTTGACAACGATTGCCCCCTGCCTTGACTACGTCCCTCTGAACCATGTGAATCCTTGGAAAACCATGATCGTCACGCCGCAGTCCTCACTTTCGCACGGAATCACCGCCCCCCTTCCCTGCCAGCAGATCTGCACTTACTACAGACAGTGTGGACAAGTTGTTTTTTATGGGCAAAAATATGAAGTTTGAGTAAAACTTCATTTTGGAACTGTTAGTGCTTTTTGAAAAGTTTTGTTTATTTATTTTTTTTAGAATATTTCATACATTTGTTGCTTATTTGATAATATTTTATTTAACTTATTAATAATACCAAGCTGCACTTTGCATTTATTTTATTTACACAAATAAACAACAAGCAAATGGTTTTACATTTTGAACCGAACTGTAACCTCAAAACCGAGGTACCTACTGAACCGTGATTTTTGTGTACTGTTACACCCCTAGTATGTCATTATTCAGCCTGAAATGTTCCACTGTGTGACATTAAACAGCTCAACCTTACTTTTATCCAATTAGTGGTGGTTTTATAGCTCAAAAATACCTAGAGAAACAGGAATTTTTGCAGTTAGTGGAGTCGCCTCTCCACAGATCTGACCTGTAACTTGGTCTGATTTGGTCTCCATGAAGACCAATAACGTCTCCATGGAGAAAAGCATTTGACGGACCTTCCACCAGAAAAGTTACACAATGCACCTTTAAGTTAGTAATATATTTTTAGTTTGTACAATCAACAGTCAGATAATTCCCCTCCTCAGGCCCATAGTAGACGACACCTTGTTTATTTTCCTGTGTTGTTTTGTTCCAGAGTTGGGAAAAGCAGATAACGGGGAAGTGTTTGACCCGAGTTCTTTGGACCCAAACCGATGTGAGAGCTGCTACGGAGCCGAGACCGAAGACCTGAAGTAAGTCATTTATTTTACTTGTACTTTAAAACTTGCATAACAACATAACAAGGCCTTTTATGAGAATGACTTGGCCCCTGTATGAATTTCCAAGTTAGTGTGTAATAATTGACAGATGAATAACATTTATATTTGTGTGTGCTTTTTCTTTGCAATACGGAGGAAGATTTTCTTATTTTTGGAGCACATTTGAGATGTAGAAAATCTGTAACTCATTTGGACTTGGAGATACAAACTAAATACAAAATGATGCAATTTCTTACATATTTACATTTATATTTATTACTTACAAAATTGTTATTGTCCTTTTTAGTTTAATTTTATCAGTGGAATAAAGTAGAAGTTGCCGATACGATACATACCTCAATATATAGGCCATGATACAATACATATCTCGATACAGTGAGATTTCAGTTCGATGTATTTCAAATTGATTTGATACAGTTCAATAAAAAATAAAGGCTAAATCATGGTTCTGATACTAAAACTCTCCACTTCTTGTGCCCATTTTACTCATCAAAAGTTAAAATGTCAAATGTGTCGCATAAATGAGCTTCTTTCCACTGAATAAGCAACAAAATTGTAGCTCTGTAACAAAATAATTTAGTAAAATAAACCAAAAAATACTCAGAAAGGAGGTGATATGTCAATACAGCAGCCCATGATATCGATACTGTATCATCACGTTAAATGATATTTTGATATTTTATTATATTTTGAAACGCACCCATTTTTATCATCTTAACAAGGAGTATGTGAAATTTATTGCATAAAAAAAAAACTTTCTTTTAAACGAGCAGCAATGTTACAAAATAATTTGGTAAAAGACACACAGAAAAACTGTAGATGCCATTTAGTATTATGATATTTCAACATTTCGACATTTTTACATTCTGACATTTGAACAGACCCCTTCTCTAGAGCTGCACAGTTTGTCTATTATTTTGTGATTTGGGTTAAAAACTCATGCTGTGCCTTGTAACATTATATAACATTTGAAGACACTGATTTCCTGCAGATGCTGTAACACGTGCGATGACGTGCGTGAGGCCTACAGGAGACGAGGATGGGCCTTCAAGAACGCAGACACCATCGAGCAGTGCAAGAGAGAAGGGTTCAGTCAGAAGATGCAGGAGCAGAAGAACGAAGGCTGTCAGGTCTACGGCTTCTTAGAGGTCAACAAGGTACAAACATCTGATCCATCTGCTCTGTCTGACCCTCTTTTCTCCTCCTCTGACTCTCTTCTCTCCTCTGACCCTCTTTTCTCCTCCTCTGACCCTCTTTTCTCCTCCTCTGACCCTCTTTTCTCGTCCTCCTGACCCTCTTTTCTCCTCCTCTGACCCTCTCTTCTCGTCCTCTGACCCTCTTTTCTCGTCCTCTGACCCTCTTTTCTCTCCTCTGACCCTCTTTTCTCGTCCTCTGACCCTCTTTTCTCGTCCTCTGACCCTCTTTTCTCTTCCTCTGACCCCTCTTTTCTCTTCCTCTGACCCTCTTTTCTCGTCCTCTGACCCTCTTTTCTCGTCCTCTGACCCTCTTTTCTCGTCCTCTGACCCTCTTTTCTCGTCCTCTGACCCTCTTTTCTCGTCCTCTGACCCTCTCCTCCTCTGACCCTCTCCTCTCGTCCTCTGACCCTCTCTTCTCGTCCTCTGACCCTCTTTTGTTGTCCCCTGACCCTCTCTTCTCGTCCTCTGACCCTCTCTTCTCGTCCTCTGACCCTCTCGTCTGCTCCATCTCTATAATACATATATAAACTGTTCCAATTAATATAAGGATTCATTCATATAAAATGAAAAATGGAAGTTTGTGACCTTGATTTTGTTTTTCAGGTGGCAGGAAATTTCCACTTTGCTCCGGGGAAGAGTTTCCAGCAGTCACATGTTCACGGTGAGTTTGGACCCTTCCCTCAGCATGACAAAACATCTCATCTCATTTACTCCGCTGGGTTTAGTGGTTTCACTGTACGACTGTTACTTCTGTATGTTTAACTTTCATGTCATTTCCCCATTTGGTCCTTTTGTTTATCGTGAAGGAAGTTTAACAGTAGCACTGTCATTTACAAAACATTTTACAAATCTGGTGCAGAATGTTATGCTATGCTCAGCACCGCAGAAAATTACCAATATTTTAATTAAAATATTTAAATTGAAAATCACCCAAGGGTCAGATTAAAGGTCTTGGAGGGCCGGATCTGGCCCCCGGGCCTTATGTTTGACACCTGTGCTTTATTCCTTTGTCAAAGCGTCGTCTTGACATCAGTTCATCTTCAAAAATCCAGTAGGAGGAAACAAACAAATCAGAAACAGAACAACAAAGTACTACAGCACAAACTACGTCTCATATTTCATGTATCTGTCCAGAGTTAAACATTTAAACTTCTTTATAAAGTGAAAGAGACTGGTGCACAATTTTAGGTTTTCTGTACAGTTGTTCCAAAGCTCCACCCCTTTAACAGATTTACAAAATTTCATAATGTTTGTTCTGATTTTCTTTTTGATAAACGTGGTCGTGCCTCTGAGCTCATATCGGCTCTTTCGGATTTTGAACATGTTCTGTAACGATTAATTGAAAATCATTACAAAGCATTACACCAAAATATCTGTCTTTCATGTCCCAGGGTATTTACTATTTATTGAAATTACTATTATTATAATGATCTTTGAATAAAAGTACGTTTTACTTTTACGTCTGTTTACATCCACATAGCGCACGGATCGAGGTGAAGCTGCAGATTAGTGATAGTGACTCTACTTCCTGTGGACTTTATCTCCAATCTTTTATGCTTTAAAAATCATGTATCTGAAGTTTTGCACCACTTTTCACAAATAATAATCATATTACAGTTTTGACTTGTATCTGAACTAGAAGTGCAGAGCTCTGATCTTTTGAACACTTCAGAGTCTCAGAGCGAGTGCTTTTACTGTAGACAGGAAACAGCTGACACGATCTCGCTCTTGACTTTGCAGCCTGTGGTCCACAACCATATCCTGCAGAAGTCTTTGCAATCAGAGACTTAAAATCTCATCAGATTCTCCTCGTGTCTGTGGTGTGCTCTTTTTGTCACACGTTTAAAAATCATTTAAACCCCCCCCACTGTCCCAAATTTCAGCCAATCCCATCTGGTCACCTTAACGTTGCCCGAATAATGACTCCTGGAGCTGTTTATAATGTACAGTCTGACCAGAATCGTACTTTTTTAACTCAACAAATCAACAAATGCTTGACACTAGGGATGTAACAATATCGTCAAAGTTCTCACAATAATATCGTGGACCATCACAATATATCGAATTACAAGTCTCTTTGTCTTTTGCTGCACCATAACTTTTAATTTAAGCAGAGGGAACTACATAGACCAGGGGTGGGCAAACTTTCTGGCTCGGGGGCCACATAGGGTCCTAAAGTTTGACTGAAGGGCCGGACAGAAGACAGGACAGAACGTGTTAACGTGTTAAAACAAAGCTCCATGCCAATCAACCACAGATATACACCTGTGAGTGTGGTAAAACCTGCCTCCAAATTGTTGTACACATTATCAATTACAACTCAGAGTCCATAGGTTTTCCATGATTGATTTTCACCAACTCAAAATGGAAGCAGTGCAGTCTTATATCTTAAGCACCAACTACTTCACTCATGGTCCGAATAACTCCTGTAAGAACACTTTCCCATAAAGCATTGCGGCCAACATAATACGCCGCAACTCAATGTATATATAGTGCGCCATCTACTGGGAAACGCTGGAAATGCATGACAAATAAAACATCAACAAGGTTTATTATTGTAATTTATTCCAGTTCGGCGGGCCGGATTAAAAGGTTTAAAGGGCTGCAGTTTGCCCACCCCTGACATAGACCATGATCCTTTGCGCCATTTCAGTGCAGTCTACATGATAGAATAACAAATCTAAGCCCTTTTAAGTCTTATTTTAAGGCATTTTAAGAGGAAAAAGTAGGATATTAACAGTTTTGTTTGTTCGCCTCCAAAAAATATCGCAAAAAATATTGTACCGTGAGATGTATATCGTGAAAATATCGTACCGAGAGATTTGGATATTGTTACATCCCTAATCGTGAGCCTCCCCACCATATCGTGAGCTTTCCCACAATATCGCAATAAATATCGTACCGTGAGACTTGGATATCGTTTACACCCTGACTTGATACTAAATTTTTCCAAAATTGTGCAGCCCTAGACTGTCCACTCTTTCCCTGAGATCACTATTTTGCATGATTAAAACACTGAGCAAACATACAAGCTTCTGTTTATTTTCCTGTTAAATCTCCTTCAGTAGTTACTGTGATATTTGTACAGCAGAAACCAGAGACAAGACTCACTTCTGCTAATGTGACTTTGGGGCTCTCCACGTTTATAAAGCTTCATACAGTTTTTCTATGAGCTTGTCCGGCCCCTCCTGTCTGAGTCTGATCACAGTGTTTGTTGTTGCTGGTTGATTAAAGTGGCTCTTCTCTCTCCTTTCTGCAGTGCACGCTGTGGAAAGTAAGTCCTTTTCTTTGCAGATTTTGATCCAGTTTCATTTTATTTTCTTAAACCTAAACTACAAATCTCACTCAGACGACTCTTTAGTTTCATTTAAAGGGCCTGTACCTGATTTCAAACCTCCAGGCAGGAACATGTTTTAGTTTTAACTCTTAGCCACGCCTACATAATCAATTCTGACACTAAAAACGACTGTCTAAGATCATTTTTGGTCATTAGTTTCCCGTGATTCTTAGTAGCAATGTCCTTAAAGTGATGAAAAAAAAGTTGAGCTTGTCAGTAACTTCTGTAGCAGCTGTTACCTGGAAAAAATACTATATAAAGAGACTATTTTATATTTAAGGTCTCCATTTTTTTTCTTGTTTAGCAGATTTTACCATATAATACAAGGTGTGAAGAGCATTTATCTTGACAAGAATTAATTAAAATCAGATCCAGGCCCTTTAAACTTACTCTATTTCCTTTCTCTCACCTCTGATAAAAAGCATAGACTTTTTTACCCTGTTATTTCTACTGACGTTTGCATGGTTCATATAAATATACAGTTTTAAAATAGGTTTAGTTTATAGTTTCTTTATAATTCTGTAGTCTTAACAAAGTAAAAGAAAGAGAAAGGTTAAAAAAAAGTGTGTACTACTGATACTACTTAAAGGTGCGTTGTGTAACTTTTCTGTTGGAGGATCCGTCACCTGCTTGTTTCTACAGAGATGTCACTGCTCGGCCTGGAACAGTGTTGGGGAAGTTACTTTAAAAAAGTAATGTTTGCTCGTTACTTCTTTTAAAAAAAAAGTAATCCCTTACTTTACTTAGTTACCCTCTATGGAAAGTAATTTTTTCACGTTACTCGTTACTTTGGTCAATTTTGGGGGGTAAACTCCATCTAAGGCTAAATAGCGGCATGACATTGATAGTCGGCAAGAACAAAAAAACGTAACGGAAAGTTGAAAAGAACTTAGAAGAGAGAGTTCAAGATAGAGGTCTGCGCGGGACAGAATTTAGAATTTTCATTTCCACTCCCACCCACATCTGCGATACTTTGTCCAACAAGGTGGGGACGTTTGTTTTCTTAAGTTCTATCAAACACGGAGAAGCGGAAAGGAAAAATGTGTGTGAGATTAGACCACATCCGCAAATTTAGGCTGCTTAAAATGTTTTTCTCCATCCATTTTCTTCTGCTTATCCGGAGCCGGGTCGCAGGGGCAGCAGTCTAAGCAGGGACTCCCAGACTTCCCTCACCTCAGACATTTCCTCCAGCTCTTTTGACGGGACCCCTAGGTGTTTCCAGGCCAGCCCAGAGATATAGTCTCTTCAGCGTGTCCTGGGTCTTCCCTGGGGCCTCCTCCCAGTGGGACATGCCCGAAACACCTCCTGAGGGAGACGCCCAGGAGGCATCCGAAGCAGATGCCCGAGCCTCAGTTGCTCCTCTCCCGTGTGACCGAGCTCCTCACCCTGTCTCTAAGGGAGAATTTCAACCGCTTTTATCCGCGATCTCGTCCTTTTGGTCATTACCCAGAGCTCGTGATCATAGGTGAGAGTAGGAACGAAGACTGAGCGGTAAATCGAGAGTTTTGCCTTTCGTCTCAGCTCCTTCTTCACCACAACGGTCCGATACAGCGACCACATCACTGCCGACGCTGCACCTCCGTCAAAATGAAAAGATTTAACGCCAAACTGTGGAACATTCCAGACAAAGCAATAACATTTTCCAAGATGAGAAAACGCGTTTGACGGACCCTCCACCAGAAGCTGCACGGTGCACCTTTAATACACAGTGAGACTGAACCTGACAGAGACACACTAGAGCTGGAATGATTTGACTGTCCAAAATTACGTATATAAAACAGCAAATACTGAACGAGAAGCCAATGTAGTGATTACTGTGACAGGCCTAGTGTAATGGATGATATAAGTATAATGGAGTCTTTATGCAATCTTTAAAAGTGTCTATTATTAATGAAAAGACTGTTGTTCTCTTTGTTTATGTGCTGTTATGTCTGTATGTGTAATTAATACGGGACATTTTCTTTGTTTCAGTTCACGACCTACAGAGTTTCGGCTTGGACAATGTAAGTACAGCAGAGCGAATAAATGATCCCAAACATTGCATTTTGAATCTTCACGTTAATGCAATAAAATCCTCCTTTACCGTAATGTTAGAGAAGATTTAAAGGAACTGTGCCTGTTTTTTCCCACATTTTTAACAGTTTGTAGTGGTTCAAAGTTATTCCTCACTTACCTTATCCAATCAGAGTGTCCGAATTATTCACAGAGATGAGTTTATGAGCATTTTTGACAACTCTCAGAGACCAGACTTGAGGTTTTGACGCTTTATTATTAGATACAGACGGCACATAGTGGACTTATTTTGACCTCAAGAGCTGCTTATACAATTGGGTAAAGACACATTTTGGTTCAATACATGGAGGAAAAAAACAGGTACAGGGCTTTTTAATAAAATATTGTGACTAGGGAGGTGTTTTAACCAAAAAAGTGATCAAAACTTCCACTTCAAAACAGTTCTTTTACTTCTTGAAGAGTCGTTAGTCGCCTACATTTGTTTGTAATTGGATTTTGATTTAGCCTACTTTTGAGTTTATTGTATACTTTACTTTTTACCTGTTAGCAAATAATACGTGACCCTTTTAATTATTAGAGATGTAACGATATCCAAATCTACTGCGATATTTTGGAGAGGCTGATATAATTGTTAATAGGATGCTTTTTTTGTTTTTAAAATACCCTGACAAGATTTTGGTGTGAATTATTACTGTGATAATCCCAAGAATTCAAGTAAAAAACATATCTCTTCATGTTGTTTGCACTGAAATGAATCATGGGATATGTAGTTCCCAATGTTTATCAGCTGTTGCTACTATAAAAAATGCATTTAAGCAAACGAACTTGTAATTCGATATATTGTGACCCCCCACGATATTATTGTGAGACTTTTGACGATACGATATCACGGTATTTCGGTTATTGTTACATCCATTTATTGTCTATTTTACTTCCTTTCACCCCTAGGAAAATGTTATAACAGTTGTACAGATACTAAATATTGTAACCTTATTTCTTGTGCTGCTTTGTTTCTTCAGATAAACATGACCCACATGATCAGACATCTGTCGTTTGGGAAAGATTATCCGGGAATCGTCAACCCACTGGACGGGACCAACGTCACCGCTCCACAAGGTACAGTGCAAACAAGGTGTTACACATTACAGGAGAATTTGCCCAATTTTGGCAGCAATTTGTTTCTCCCCAAATTCATGGAGGCTTTACTCAACTTTGTGTCTTCGTGTGCGATTTTGACGCTGCTGCTCCTCGTGTGTGCGTGTCAGTGCTGGATTGTAACCACTAAACATCAGCAACGCTACGGCAAAAGACAATAAAACAGAACGTCAGGGGCAGAGGAGTGACAGACACAGAGACGCAACATACAAACTCAGGAAATAACGAAAATAATTATTACTCACCTCTCGTAAAGTTGTAAATTTAAATTGCAGCATCTCATTCACATTATCCATAGAATTTATCCTCAGCAAATAATAACAACCAGTCCACAAAACCACGCTGTTAATCCACTTTGAGACATTGTTTGAAAGTAAAAAGGTGGGAGTAGTTCCTCACATGTGTTTGTTTACATCTACACAGCGCAAGGATCAAGGTGAAGCTGCAGATTAGCAACAGTGACTCTAATTCTTGTGTACCTTATCACCAGTTTTTTACGCTTTAAAAATCACGTATCTGAAGTATTGCACCACATTTCACAAATAATAATAACACAGTTTTGACTTGTATCTGAACTAGAAGTGCAGAGCTCAGATCTTTGAACATCTAAGAGTCTCAGAGCGAGTGGTTTTACTGTAGACAGGAAACAGCTGACACGATCACACGCAGTTTTATATCCTGTGGTCCCCAGACAGATCCCGCTGGAGTCTTTGTGATCAGAGATTTTAAGTTTCATAAGATTCTCCTCGTGTCTGTTGTGTCTGCTTTTTGTCGCATGTTTAAAAATCTTTTAAGACTGAAAAAATGTGTGGCGGCCGAGTGTTTTCAAACTCTACTTCGAATAAACTCAGAACAGGTTTTGATATCCAAATGATTATTTTAAAAGTTCTTGTTAGACAATATTGTAATGTTCAACACAAAGTAACAGTATTTATTTATTATACCATGTGGTCTTACTGGTCTTAGTTCTGTTAAAAGTTAAAACTGTTCAGGAAAGGTCACAGGACGATCACGATAACAAATTTTGAAGCGCGACGTTTTTGCTACAGAGAAATATTCCGATAAACAATATTAAAACGCTGACCCAAAGCAGGATGATCTCAGGAAACTTATTTTTAAATAGACGGTATCGTTAAAAAGCCTGAGATGCAACAGATAACCTGCAGAATGAACCAATAATTAGTCCTAGAAGTTCTTTATTCTACCCTCTTCTGCTCAAATCTCCCCACTATAGCAAAGACATTGTACTTATGATAAATACTGAGCCCCAAAATACATAGTTGGAGCTTTCATATATATTATATCTTAGTATTGATTAGTGTCTGTTTTTTGATACTTTTGAGAACTCTAGTCACGATAACACATTTTGAAGTGAATTATTTGTACAGAAAATGCTGCAGCTGTGATATAAGAACATTTTATGACTTGGGCTGCAACTAACAACTATAACCAAAATAAAGGTTTAAATATGGTGACTGAAGGCTTTTAGTTTGAGAACACGCACGGATAAAGTGTATTATTATATTTGACAAATGAAAATGTCCAAAGCATATGTAATAATTCTGCATTGGTATGTCATGAATAATAGTTTCAGCTCTACCGGTGACACATTAATTTGAACCTTAAACTAAAATGACCTGCAATAAATGGAGCAATGACTCACTACTAATTATTAATCTAGTAATTAGTATGAAGTCATAATTGCGTCATTATTATAAAACCCTCTGCAGCTCAAGTGTTTAAAAGTCTGTCAAATGTATAGATGAAAAATATGGAGCCTTAAATATTTAGTTCAATAAATAAAAGACGAATATGTGTCTATATAGTATCATGATTATTCAAAACTTACCACAAACTCACATTTCAGAGCATTTATTGACAAAACTAGAAAGAAAGACAGCAAACAGATTTCTTAATGTTGTTGTATCTGGAACAGTCCCATTATATTTCATGATGATTCTGTAAAGAATTGGGTAAATTGGGGGGGGGGTTTTGTTGAGTTGGTCCTCAGCAGCGGATGCCCATTCCAATGGCCATAAATGTCCCAAAAGTGCCACCGCTTTGCATCATGGTCTTCCCCACTCCGCCCATCAGCTCCCGGCCACGCATCCCGATCCTAGAAAGGAGAAAAAGTGATTAGAGAGATCTGAGGAGCGGAGCTATTAGGCGCTTTGGATTATAAGGCGCACTGTCATTAAATGGTCTATTTTCGAACTGTTTTCACAAATAAACCGCACTGGACTTTAAAGGAAACACAACAGTTGGATGGGTGAGTGGTTTTGTTTGTTTGTGGCGTTCACGGTGACTCTGGGCTTTGTTCAGTTGTGGCGTGTAGGGAGGGTGCTGTCTGGGACCGCTGGATTGTCGGCGTGTTCAGTGACTCAGTTGTTCAGTTGTGTCTAGAAGTGACACATTGCGCTCGCTTTTTCTGTTCGTTCCTCCGTTCCGCTCCTCGTCGGCGCTGAGTGATGTGTCTGTGGGTGTTTTTCGCCGCGCGGTCGCTGTCTGCTCCGTGTGTGTTTGCATGTTCTGCGGGTGGTGCGGGTTTGTAGTTTACTGAAGTCGTGCTGGGACACCCGAGTGGATTCGTGTTTAGGGTGCTCTGGATTGTGGGGCAAGCAGTTGTTTTTTGATGGGTTTGGAGGCTTAAGAGCGCATCTAATAGCCCGGAAAATACGGTACTAAACATGTCAGCATATTTACATCTTTTTTGACTGAAGTTGATTGAGTTAAGAAGGGACTCTACCTGATTTTTAGGAAAATTCATCTTGGCTGAGTACAGGTGTATTCTGTCTACATCTGATCTATTGTCTGATAATCAGGAAATACGCTACTAGGATACTAATTGTTGCCAACTTTGCCATCACATTAAACTTCATTCTGGTCTCTGAGAGTAGTGACTTGTGTCCTGGTCACACGTACCTGAGACATGAGAAAGTCCCAAACATGGCTCCCGCTGCCATCCCCACAGCAAAGCCCATCATGAAGCCCATCTTCACCCTGTCGAAGCACGAGGGCTGAGTCTGTCCGTACGGCCCCACCGCCACCGGCATCTGAGGGGAGGAACACTTCTGTAGTTAGCCAGGGCTAAATGTGTCTAATATTCACTGTTAGTAAAAGAAGAAATAAGAGGAAAACAATACACAAATATCAAGAAATACATTTATATAATTATCCCTTAATTGACAGCTGTCTCTTGCCATCTTTTTTGCTACTTACTCAAAAGAGAGTGAAAATATAAATGATAATAATATTATATTGAGATTTGTGAGCGTCTGTGTCCAAATAATTTCCGTTGTGGATCAATAAAGTTTGTCCTTCTGAAAATACAGATGTAAGAATTTTGCTACTACTACTCCTACAACTACTAATCCTACTCCTACTCTTTCTACTACTACTAGTCCTCCTACTACTCATACTACTCCTCCTCCTCTCCTACTACTACTATTCTAATACTACTCCTACTACTCCTCCTCCTCTCCTGCTACTACTACTCCTCCTCCTCTCCTGCTACTACTACTCCTCTCCTGCTACTACTACTCCTCCTCCTCTCCTGCTACTACTACTCCTCCTCCTATTCTAATACTACTACTACTATTCTACTACTCCTCCTCCTATCCTACTACTACTACTCCTCCTACTATCCTACTACTACTACTACTACTCCTCCTATCCTACTCCTACTACTACTACTACTACTCCTATACTACTCCTACTACTACTACTACTACTACTACTACTACTCTCCCATCCTACTACTACTACTACTCCTCCTATCCTACTCCTACTACTACTACTCCTACTACTACTCCTCCTCTTATCCTACTACTACTCCTACTCCTATCCTACTACTTCTCCTCCTCCTCGTCCTCCTACTCACTCAAGACTACTGCATACATTAAAATCTTTCCCCGTATCCTCCTGACAAAAATTTCACACACCCCCAAGACAAAAAGTGATGAAACAAATGAACAGGTGGAGCAGGAGCGTTACTGTGCCAACTCTACCTCCCAAGTTTACATTAAGACTTATTTGAGAGGAAAAAAAAAAAAATTAGATAAAAATTCCCCTGGAGAAGAGTCTTGAGCTGCTCCTTTATGTTACAGAAGTGGGCTGGTCTTGTCTGTCACATGGCTACACCGTGAACACTCTGTACTCCGGCTGTTCTTTATTATATTTCCACACATTTTACTCCAAATAATGCGTATTTATCCATGACACACAACGGTCTTTGAGTAAACAGACCCTCCATTACACAAACAATCAAACGCGGCCAACTATTTACTCAAGATGCACTTTAGCCACACGGAAGCTAAATAAGAATATCTCAGTTTTTTTTACACTTTTGTGCTTAATTTAGCCAGACCAAAGACTTGAGCTTATGTAAAACGATGTAAACGATCACAAGTTTACCTAAAGTCATGATTAAAATAAATTATAAATATCCTGGACCCGGAATTTGGCTTAAAATTTTGAGTTAGCCCAGCGTGCTAACTAGCCGCTAACGTCACCTATGGCCTTGACGGGGGAAAACAGACGCACGTTTCACCTTCACGTTTGTTGTAAATAACGCTCAGATCGCGGCGCGGACGTGACTTACCGCGACGTGCAAGGTTCACCGAGCGTGTCCCGGTCCAATAAAGCCGAACACTTTGGTTGTTTTGGGAGCGGGGGGTGAGTTTAAATGCCGTTCAGCAGCGCAGCATCACACAGGAAAGAGAAAAGCAGCGCTGATGAAGCAGAGGCTGAGTTTATAAGAGCGCCCCCGCCGGTGAAGGGGGAGTATTACAGGCAACATTTATTATTTATAGTGTTGGGGAGTAACGGATTACATGTACCGGAGTTACGTAATCAGAGTACAAATTAAACCGGGACTAAAGTGGGACTAAAGTGGGACTAAAACCAGGATTAAAACCAGGATTAAACAGGACTAAAACTAGGACTAAAACTAGGAATAAAACCAGGACTAAAACCAGGACTAAAACCAGGACTTAAACCAGGTCTAAACCAGGTCTAAACCAGGTCTAAACCAGGATTAAACCAGGACTAAGCCAGGACTAAACCAGGACTAAACCAGGACTAAAACCAGGACTAAAACCAGGACTAAACCAGGACTAAACCAGGACTAAAACCAGGACTAAAACCAGGACTAAAACCAGGACTAAACCAGGTCTAAACCAGGATTAAACCAGGACTAAACCAGGACTAAACCAGGACTAAACCAGGACTAAAACCAGGACTAAAACCAGGACTAAAACATAAACCAGGTCTAAACCAGTCTAAACCAGGTCTAAACCAGGTCTAAACCAGGACTAAAACCAGGACTAAACCAGGTCTAAACCAGAAGTAAACCAGGTCTAACCAGAATTAAGACAGGACTAAAACCAGACTAAAACCAATACTAAAACCAGGACTAAGCCAGGATTAAGTCAAGACTAAACCAGGACTAAACTAGGACTAAACCAGGTCTAAACCAGACACCTAACAGTCGGGTGGGCATAACTAAAGGCAGCAGTGATCTCATATAAATATAATTTCTCTATCAATAATATTTTTAATATAGTTAAGTAAAGACTGGGTTTTTGATTATCTTTAAGCAGACAAAACATCTTATCTTCAGATTTCCTCATCTTTGCTTCTCTACAGTAAACAATTACCTGTTCACGGAGATTTGGGCTCAACAGATAATTTGAAGAGAACAAACAAGAATTTTCAGGATGCGGTTGCTACATTCATGTCGTTTTAAAAAGCACAACAATATCAAGTAATCCAAAGTATTCAGATTACGTTACTCACCTTAAATAAATTAATGGATTACGTTACAAACTACATTTTGGGGTATGTAATCTGTAATCTGTAGGGGAATACATTTTAAAAGTAACCTTCCCAACACTGATTATTTATTTATTCACTTTGTCATCTGGAAACGATTCAAATGTCCAAAATAGTCAATATAAATGTACTGGGGAGAGACACATTTTGCTCAAATTCATGGGAAAAAATCGGGAACAGGTCTTAAATTATGAATTGCTATGGTAACAGGTTTCCTCTGTGCATGGATTTAATACGTTTTTCTTTTCCTCTCTTCACAGCCTCAATGATGTACCAGTATTTTGTGAAAATAGTTCCCACAGTTTACGTCAAAACAGACGGAGACGTGAGTCCTGAACTACACTGTATTATTTTAATCGTCACCGGACACTTGTGAAGTATCTCCTATTCTCCTTTTCATTTGTGTTTGTTTCAGGTGGTCAAAACAAACCAGTTCTCCGTCACTCGTCATGAAAAAAGTCGCCAACGGTCTGATCGGGGACCAGGGGCTGCCAGGGGTTTTTGTTTTATACGAGCTGTCTCCAATGATGGTCAAATTCACAGAGAAGCACAGGTAGAACTTCCACTTTTGGATTTTTGGAGAAATCCTTATAGACTTTTTATTCCTGATGACAAAAAATAGCTTTATTTCATGTTTTTCTTATCCCTGACCGTTTCCTGTTTGTGTCCAGATCGTTGACACATTTTCTCACAGGAGTTTGTGCCATCATCGGTGGAGTTTTCACAGGTCAGTCTGTTACAGGATTTATACAGCTACAATGATGAAGAATTAAATACCCCACACCCTGTTTTTCCCCATGTTTGATCAAAAATAATCTTGTCCCATTACATATATATTCAGTGTTGGGAAGGTGACTTTTAAATTGTATTCTCCTACAGATTACAGATTACATACCCCAAAATGTAGTTTGTAACGGAATCCATTAAATTACTTTAGGTGAGTAACGTAATCTGAATACTTTGGATTACTTGATCTGCTGTAGAGAAGCACAGACAAGGATATCGTAACATAAGATGTTTTGTCTGCTAAAAGAAAATAAAAAGATGTTAAATCCTGTTTTAGACATGGTTTAGACCTGGTTTAGTCCCGGTTAATCCCGGTTTAGTCCTGGTTTAGTCCTGGTTTAGACCTGTTTTAGACCTGGTTTAGATCTAGTTTAGATCAAGTTTAGACCTGGTTTTAGTCCTGGTTTAGACCTGGTTTAGATCTAGTTTAGAGCAAGTTTCAGTCCTGGTTTAGATCTGGTTTAGACCTGGTATAGTTTCCGGCAATGAGTGCCCAAAATGTGAAAACAGGAAAATACCACAGAGTAATCCTTTTATTTTAACAAAGTAAAAACTGTAACTGAATACAGTTACTCATAATTTGTACTCTGATTACATAACTCCGGTACATGTAATCTGTTACTCCCCAACACTGTATATATTGTATAATCAGCTCTCTGTCCATTGCGTGTCATCTGCTTTTAATTATAACGCGTTTATTGTTTGAAAGTGTGTCTTAGTACTGAACCTCTACATGTTCCTTTTCAGATCTTATACATAAACATGTGTAAACTTGAATAAAAGTCTTATTTGTACGTATTTGCACGTCTTCAGTAAAAAATGAACAACTCCGATTGTTAAAGGTGCATTGTGTAACTTTCCTGGTGAAGGCTCCATCACCTTCTTGTTGCTATGGGAATGTCATGTCTGCTTTAAATGTTCCTCAGTATGACATAAACAGCTCTACTTAAAATTTATTCAATTAGAGGCAGTTTTATAATTGAAAAAAACTGGAATTCTGACCTGTAAACTGGTCCGATTTGGTCTGAAGATGAAGATAGCCATACTGTGGAACATTCCAGACAAAGCAATAACCAGAAAAGTTACACAATGTGCCTTTAATAGCCAAATCCACTAGGGGGCAGTCTTATCCAGTCCGATCAATTATAAACGTGTGTAAACTTGAATAAAAAGTCGTCATGTGGATCTGTTGTCTTTTCTTTAGTTGCCGGTCTGATCGACTCCCTGATCTACCACTCGGCGCGCGCCATCCAGAAGAAGATAGAACTGGGCAAAGCGTCGTAACACACAACTGTGCAACACCCCCACGGGACAGAGCAGAGGACAGAGCAGAGGACACGCTGTGTGTGGACAGACCCATGAGGACAGATCTATGAGGACAGACTTTGGACAGGCTGTGGATGGGACAGGACTGTGGACAGGACTGTGGACAGAACTGTGGACAGGACTGTGGACAGAACTGTGGACAGGCTGTTGGACAGGCTGTTGAATAGACAGTGGACAGGCTGTTGGACAGGACTGTGGACAGGCTGTTGGACACGCTGTTGGACAGGCTGTTGGACAGGCTGTTGAATAGACAGTGGACAGGCTGTTGGACAGGCTGTTGAATAGACAGTGGACAGGCTGTTGGACAGGACTGTGGACAGGCTGTGGACACACTGTGGACACGCTGTTGGACAGGCTGTGGACAGGACTGTTGATGTTAGACAGTGGACACAAGCTGTTGGACAGACTGTTGGACAGACTGTTGGACAGACTGTTGGACAGGCAGTGGACACACTGTTGGACAGACTGTTGGACAGACTGTTGGACACACTGTTGGACACTGTTTGGACAGGACACACTGTTGGACAGGACTGTTGGACACTGTTGGACTGTTGGACAGACTGTTGGACAGACGTATGAGGACAGGCTGTTGACCGGGTGTTGGACAAGGACAGGACTGTGGACAGACTACATCCAGGCTGTAGACAGACTGTTGGACACTGCGGAGGACGAGGCGGGGACAGGTGGGAGTCTCCTGTCCCAAACACTGGACACTGCCTCTGCGTGAGCACCACACTGTCCCACACCAGACACAAGAAACCGTAAAGCGGGGATTAAAGGAGCACTCCACACACAAGATTATACACGACTTTCACTCTTCAATGTCCATATGACCACATTCTCTGATCTGTTAGAATGTTGTTTCTTCGTCACAAACAAACCTGGAGTTGTGTTTTTTTTCATTCACACATTTAACACACAAACCCTGAAGATTTAGACTGAGCTTTTCTGTCAAACTGAAAACGCTGTTCCAATTTCTTATGTCATGTGCACTGCAAATTTTCCTGATCTGGCCAAGATTTTAAAACTTACATCAGCTTTTTCATCTTGTTTTCAGATTTCTTATCGACTTACTAGTTCTGAAACTGATTAATTCTAGTCTAGAGGTCGTTTATTTTAAAATTATCTCGCTGCATGGACAGATAATTTCACTACTTTTAAGTCATTTTCTGATAGATTTAAGTGTTTATATCTTAAATTTTGGCCAAGCTTTTTTGCATTGTGGAAATACAGTGTGTTTTTATCATCCAAACCATTTCATTTGAATTGCCAATATTTACTGAGCAAAATAATAAAATGTCGCTGTTAACTTGAGAACTACCTACCGATTTGTGACATCACAAGGTGGAACAGAGCGTTTTGAGGTTTAGAGATGTAGACAGACTAATAATAAAGGATTACAAAACACAACTCTAGGTTTGTTTCTGATGAGGTAACAGCATTATAACGTGATTTAAAGCTCACAAAAGTCCATTTCAAAAACCTGCCTGACGAGATTTGAATAATCTAGCGATCTCTGCCTCTCATTAAACATGTTAATACAGTTGTTTTTGGTGAATATAACATTTTCAAACAATAGATGCATCACGAATTTCAGTCTTTCCGGTCATCGTGCATTGCATACTGGGAAGGATTTTCCGAAAAAGTGAGCATCAAGCCGCCGTGTTTGTTTTCCCAGTGGGATGCGTCTTTTGTCGATCTTTTCAAGTCTTTGAACCATATCACTTTTGTGTCTGGTTCTGATATTGTCATATTTTAGTTTTGGGATTCGGACATCGTAATTGTGTGGTTGTTGGATGTTCTAACAGCAGAAAATGGCTTGAGAAACGGGCTTCGGAAAGTTTGCAAACTCCATAAATGCAAAAGGGAATCAGATGTGTGTGACTGCAAACCTCTGTTCAAACTGTTTCTCTTCCCAACGGAATTGAAAAATAGTGAAAGGTGAAGGTGATGGGCAGGATTGATCCACAGGAAGGATGAAAATGGAAACCTTTGACTGCCTAAATCATCCCGAGTTTGTGGGGAATATTTTGTATGTGTGTTACCAAAGCAAAATCCCAATCCCTCGCTCCACCTTGGTTATGAATTTAAAAACGTGAAAGGCACCAACTGTTCACCAAGAAACACCTTCCACTGCAAAGAGACCAAGACGTGATGTTGCTGTAAAACCACAAGAACAAGAAAGTGCAGTTCAGTCTGTTTGTCTTCTGCACCTCTCACTTAACAAACAGGATCCCACGTCGTTGTCGCTCCACATACAAAATGTTCACCGCAAACTCGTGATGATTTCTTAGGCAGTCAAAGGTTTCCTTATTCGTCCTTCCTGTGGATCAATCCTGCCCATCGCCTTCGCCTTTCACTATTTTTCAATTCCGTTGGGAAGAGAAACAGTTTGAACGGAGGTTTGCAGTCACACACATCTGATTCCCTTTTACATTTATGGAATTCGCAAACTTCCGAAGCCCATTTCTCGAGTCGTTTTCCACTGTTAGGACATCCAAGAACCACACAATTACGATGCTCGAATCCCAAAACTAAAATATGACAATATCAGAACCAGAAACAAAAGCGATATGGTTCAAAAGACTTGAAAAGATCGGCTTTGACAACAGACGCATCCCACTGGGAAAACAAACATGGCGGTTTGATGCTCACTTTTTCTGAAAATCCTTCCTAGTATGCATTGCGCGATGACCGGAACTCCAAAATTCATGATGCATGTATTAAAGGTAAACACGGTGATCTAACTATGTCAAGTTTAAGCCGTTAATGCCCCATAAAAATGACTTTCAGAGTGGGTAAACAAACTTAAACTACATTATATTAGTTAATCTTGCGTGTGGAGTGTTCCCTTTAAACTACTTGAACTGTCTGCCATTTTCTACTCCCATCTCGAAGTCAATGTGAACGAGTGAATGCGGTTTTAACCCTGTGAGAGATTTCGTTTTTTTTGTAAGATTAATCTGTTAATACTGTACAGACGCCTTGTACATTATGGTAAGTGCTTTGGTACGTTTCGGTGCGGGGAGGTTTTCGCCGAGGAGGTGAATGGATTTTTAACTCGTGTGTGTTTTGTGAAAGGTCTTAACGCAGCCTCAGTATCGAGAACCGTCAGTGTTTACACGTCAGTAATGATCACAAGCGCCCCCTACTGGTTTGGAGAAGGTTTACAGTCTAGAGAAACCGTAAACGAACATAAAAATCAACACAGTAAGAGCGAAAAAAAAAAGTACAATGTGGATGAATTGACTTGGGTTTAAAATGTAATTAAAAGTTTGAAAAGTTTTTTATATTAACGAAGAACATTTTAGTAAATCTAAAGTAAGTAGTAGTAATAATACTTATATTTAATTATATTATAATTATTACTATTTTAACTAAAACTAATAATAGTAGTATTAGTATTATACAGCTACTGCTACTACTGCTGCTGCTACTGCTTCTACTACTCTACTCCTACGACTCTTACAATTACTCCTACTACGACTACAGCGACTACTACTAGTACTCCTACTACTATGACTACTACGACTACTTCTACTACTACTACTACTACTACTTCTACTATGAAGACTATTGCTACTACTACTACTACTCCTTTTTCTACTACTACTTTTACTCCTCCCGCTACTACTACTACTACTACTACTACTACTACTACTACTACTTGTACTTTTCCTCCTCCTCCTACTACTACTACGACTACTGCTACTACTACTACTACTACTTTTACTTTACTTTTCCTCCTTCTACTACTACTACTACTACTACTACTACTACTACTACTACCACTACTACTACAACTACTTTTACTTTTCCTCCTCCTACTACTATGACTACTGCTACTACTACTGCTACTTGCTACTACTACTACTACTACTACTACTACTACTACTACTTTTTCTCCTCCTCCTACCATTACTACTACTACTACGACTATTGCTGCTACTAGTTAATTTATATTTAATAAAATAAACTATAAAAATAAAAATAGTAATAATAATAAGTATTACATAAATACAGACTAAATAGTGATGGTCAGCTATATATATATTTTTTTTAAATTGACACGATATCTGATATTTGACCGATGAGTGAAAAAATAACCAGCTTCAGAAAAATATTAGTGCCAAATATCGGTTAAATTTTCGATATCGGGCCAATACCGATATCTGTTAAACTCCTCCAATACTGATAATGATAAACTATAATCGATAAAACTTCTCTGTTTATCAATAAGGTTTTACAGGGATTCAATTCAACGAAACTAAACCATCTAAAAAATATTTCCAATCAAAATACAGAATTCTATGTTTTATTTTCTGATATAAAAATAAATTTAAAGTCAATTTTCCACTGGTAAAACTTGGTCTGTACGTATTTGCACTTCATAACAAAAAATGAACAAGTCCGATAGTATTACTTAAAGGTGCACTGTGTAACTTTCCTGGTGAAGGCTCCGACGTCGTCTTGTTGCTATGGAAACGTCACGTCTGCTTTAAATGTTCCACAGTGTGACATTAAACAGCTCTACTTTACGTTTATTTAATTACAGCTGGTTTCATAATCGAAAAATACTTAGAAAAACAGACATTCTGACTGTGAGCGCGGTCGCCTCTCCACAGATCTGACCTGTAACTTCCTTTAGTTTGGTTTCCGTGAAGATAGAAAGCTTTAATGCCAGACTGTGAAACATTCCCTGGCAACGCAATCACCAGAAAAGTTACACAATGCGCCTTTAATAGCCAAATCCACTAGGGGGCAGTCTTATCCGGTCCGATCAAAAAAACAAACAAAATGGTTCAATTTAAGCCATACTTTTCCATATTTTTTCAGTTTTTTGGGGATTTTTTTGGTCATTAACACAATTCTCTGTAGCGTCAATATAATCCGAAGCCATTCCCAAAGTGGCTGTAGTATTCCGATAACTGGATAATAAAAACGAGGAGGCTTGCCGGTGGTTGGCGGTTGCGTCGTTGTGAGTTTTGAATCAGGCTGTGTGTGTGTGTGTGTGTGTGTGTGTGTGTGTGTGTGTGTGTGTGTGTGTGTGTGTGTGTGTGTGTGTGTGTGCGCCTGAGTGAAAGCTAAAGATGTATTTAT